TGGATCTGTTGCTTTTTAATTTAGGTATCCATTCCGTACCATGCTCTCTTAATTCTTTAAACGCTTTTCTTGTTCCCCCTGTTTTCTGGATTTCGTCTTCTAGTTTTTTCGTTCTCTTCATTTTCCTATCGTTTCTTATATTTTCCCGAATCTGTTTACTCAGCGCCGATATTTTATTACGGTTCTTCTTTCTTTTTGACTTGTCGGTTATTAATGCTTTTCTTTCCTCTAGGAGTTCTATTGATCTCTCGCTGACCTTTGTATCATTAATTGCATTTGCCTTTGCTTTTTTTAGTTGTGACAATTGTTTGTTCAAATGGTCGTATTTTTCCGTGACACATATGTCCTTGTTTACTACTTCTATCAATGTCTTGGTAAATGAAGGATCAATGTTTTTTTCATAGTGCTCTAGTGTCAAGTGTCTATTATATATTTTGCTTCTGCTTATTTGAGTAGGAAGCTTCTTTAGACGGCAGCGCACCATTCGGTGGTCCGTATTAAAATTTAAGTTCTGTATTACGTGTGTGTCATTGAAAAACTTGGGTTTGTTAGTTATTATGTAGTCAATTTCGTTTGTAAATTTTCCGTCGGGTGATAGCCACGTCCATTTAGTTTTAGGGTTTTTTTTGAATACAGAGTTGAGTAGTGTTAGGTTGTTTTGTAGTAAAAGTTCAATCAATCTATGGCCGTTTGCACTCCTCTTACCATATCCATATTTGCCCAGTATTAGTTCCTCGCCGGCTTCTCTACTGCCAACCTGTGCATTAAAGTCACCCATAACTATGAGGTAGTTATTGTGGTATTTTCTTATGGTGTCTGACAGAATGGAGTAAAAGCCGTCACTTTCGCTTTCGGGTGCTGACTCTGTGGGTGCATATGCTTGTATTATTGTCCACGGTTTTTTGTATCTTGGTATATTAATGTTGAGTATTGCTAATCTTTCTGAGATTCCTATTAGCTCTTGTATGTAGACCATGTATGTAAACCACTAAACCGATTTTAAAATTTCTTACACCAATGGAAAGCTACATTATTAGCGAGTAACATAGGCTACAAACAAACACGCGGGTGGTGCCGCGGGCCTTTCTAGGGTATACCTGGTTCCCCGGCTATTAGTACCCGAGACGGCGTGCGGTTTTAGTCGGTTCGAGTCCGACATGCCACCGACAGGTTGTATCCGAGGGGATTTCCGCACGGAAAAAAAAAAAAGATTGTATCAGCTAAACTGACGTCATTTGCTGCTGTATTAAACAGCGGGAAATGAAGTTTGCGACGTTTTCGTTTGCCGTCGAATTTTCTAAACTCTCATGTATAATTTAGAAACTCTCTGTCCTTGCGAACCAAAGTCATCTGCCATACGATAACCATTGTGAGACCAAATATTTACATCTACGAATTGTTATGTTATCTTAACATAACAATTTGTAGATATAAATATAAAGATTTCAGATATATTTGCCACTAGCTGAAACCCGCGGTGTTACCCGCGTTTGTTGTTATAACCGCGGGCAACGCCGCGGGGCGAAGCTAGTCTAAAAAAAGTAGCCTAAGTTACTCCTTATGTCATCAGCTATCTGCCAGTGAAAGTCCCGTCGAAATCCATCAAGCCGTTCCAGAGATTACCCGGAACAAACAGACAGACAGACAGGCCGACAGACAGACAAAAATTGAAAAAAATGTTATTTTGGCATATATACCGCGTAAACATACATATGCATTTAGTAAAAAGCGGTTATTTTAATATTACAAACAGACACTCCAATTTTATTTATTTGTATAGATATATTTTTTAGCTTTAGTTTTTCTTATTTCGTGTTACTGACTTTGCAACAAAAATGGCAACCTTCTATACAACGGTTTATCTCTTATTTACCCCTTAGGGTTGAATTTCCAATGAATTTGATGAGTCAGTCAGTTGGGGCAAGTAATTTTATATGTAAAGACTGATGCTGCAAATATTCTTTCATCGTCATCAACAGCCTTAAATAGTCCACTGCTGGACATGGGCCTCTCCTTAGAAAAGAGGTTTATTGAAAAATATTCCGACGCCCCCCGCGAATAATCCGGTAATGACCTACGGGGTTTTTCATGTTATGCGTTTTTCGGCATCTAGAAGTTAAAATACACCATGTAATTTTTTTTCAGAATTTTTCTATCTTTATTTACGAAGATATGATATGATATTAAGATATTCGAATAAACAGTAATAGTCAAAACAATAAAATGTACGTTACTGTTAAACAATCGAATAACCTAATTATTACTTTTTACAAATGTTCAGTATACAAAACAAATTACACGAATAATAGCGCAACACGATATTACCGTTGCCGTCGAAAATATAAATTTACACGAATAATATCGCAACAAGATTTTACTGTTGCCGTCGAAAATATAAATTTACACGAACAATTTCGTAAGTGACATTACTGACCAGAGCTTGACCTACACTAATATAGTAAAATGCATCCAGCTAAATTATAACGAAGCCCTTGGGACTACTTTAATTTTGTTGAAATAACCAGATAGCTGAAAAAATTAGCTTCCATATGCGATATAAAAAGTCTCTGATACTTGTTGTTTAATAGAGTTATTAAGGAAAAATGTTTTTTTATTTTTCCTGAACATTTACACTTTTACGATTACCAGATTATTCGCAGGGGGCGTCGATTCTTTATGTTTAGGTTTTCTAGGTATTCTAGGTTTAGTTTTTAATAGAACAGAGGGCAAACGAGCAGACGTAGCACCTGATGGTAAGTGACTACCGCCGGCTATTGACTTCTGCAATTCAAAAGTCACTAGTGCGTTGCCGCCCTTTCAGTGCCCCTCCCTTAAGAAGCAGGGGAAGGGGGGGGGGGGGGGGGTTGATAACAACAGCAAGCAGTGTTGGTAAAACATCATAAAATGTTTAACAACTTTCAGTGCTATTTTCAAAGAGCGGCAAAACAGATATCGAAAGGAAACATTCTCATTATTTTTACGGATATCTTAAGGTATGTATTTTTAAATGTCATTCTCATAATAATGACATCTATTGATCAGTTTCGAAAATAAATGAAAACCTTTATAAGCTTCTCCATCCAAAAAGCTTCACACCCTTTCCACAGAGTGCAGTAATACTATTATAGAGCCCTTTTTCTAAATGGATGTTCAGCCCAAAATCCTAGCAACAGGCTTGTGTCCACTAATAACAGATTGCTTGGTTTATAGTTTCAAATTATAAATGAAGAGACATAGATAAGAAAAAATCAGTCTATTTCTCATAAAAGTTAAAGATTATTAATATATTTTTTTTATAAATTCGAACAAAATAGGCATTAAGTCACGTGACAGCGAACACCAATTGAAAGTGTTACGTCACGCCACGCAAAACATCATTGTTGTTGTTGACGTATTCATACAACAGAGCAGGTTACTCCTTATTGTTTTTCGTTTTTAGCATGTAAACACAGATGTACACAGTTTAGTTTCGCAGACTGTCACGTCATTCAAGACTCCATGACACTATTCAGCGTTTTCATGGGAAATTTAAATTGTTTTTTTTTTAAATACAAAATACATAATGTCAATATTGCTTTTTCTTTGAAATATAGGTTTTTTGGGATAAAATATGTATTACAGTATATAATTAACCAAGTTTTCAAATTGAGTCAACTAGCCTATTATAGATACTGAGATATAAGATACTGAGATATAATATAGTTGCTTTCATTTATTTTGCAAAATTAAGATCTTTCTGCTTGTACTTAACAGTTTTACTGTATAAAACTGAAGTTTTAAAGAAATAATCAACAATAAAGAAAAAACACGTATACGATTGCGCGGCCATAACTTCCAAGGTGAATATTTCGTAAAATATTGATCTTTAGATTTTTTTTGACAAATTCAGTCTTCAAGTGGCAAAAAGGATTAGATCTCTAACAGAAGTAGTTGCTGAGATCTCCGTAGCCGCGCAATCCTCAACGTTACCTTCGCGCGGCCAACTTAAAACTTCTTACTTGGACAATATACAAACTCTAGAGATAGGCGACAGGGGGATTTTAAGCTAGGATCATTCCCTCTCTTCGGTACGCCATACTTGACCATATATTTGCTTGGATAAGTATTACTGACAGGATAAAAAAAAAAATACATTTGTATGCTTTATTGTGTGAATATTACAAAATAAGTAAATATATTGCTGCGCCATAGGATTGAGTGGTTGTTGTGTTGTGTCTGGAGGACTGCGCCATTTATGTAGTATCAAGTAGGGCACAACGTTATACATTAAGATTATGGTTCTTAATTCCGATACTTGCTTGCAGTGCCGTCTAGTGTCGAATATTGGAAGATTATAGAAATTTCTAGATGACTTATTGTATTGACTTCTGCCTGGAAGATTCCATCGGATATTCGGGATTAGTCTAGTAATTTCGATTGCACTATAAAAGCAGAGCGTGGACAGTATTGTTTCACGACACGGCGAATTAACGTCGAAGCGAATTATTGGTGTGACTAATGAGTTATATAGTGATTTCTTGCTTATAATAGCGAGTGTTTGTAAATACAGTGCAGTAAAATTAATTAACCAACAACTTTTATTTATTGTATACCCCGCTGATAACAATATCATATGGATACAATCACTTAATAGATTATATGGTCTACCAATCTTGAATTATAAATAATTTATAACCATAATATATGCTTACACTTTTAAGTATAATTTGAACATAATAATTATTACTTACAATTAAGTTGAATGCACAATACTAAATGATTATTGTATTAAATTAATTAGTCAATCTTGTATAGGCTCAACATTAACTACACTTTTTATACAAAACATTAAAACAAAAGAGAACATTACAGCAGGTGCTTATGTTGTCTAACATTTTACCTAGGATATAACAGCCAACTCTAGCACCAAACCTCTTTGGTCAAATAATATGGTGTGCTTCCTGAAGATCCTGTCACACACTTCTGTCACTTCACACTAAATCACTTCACTATCATAAGCATTATTTAGGAATATAGGCTCTGTCTATTCTCACATCATCTACGGGACAGTCATCTCTATCACACTCAACCAACCCTATCCGTTTCACTACTGACATTCCACTCTGGATCCTACCAAAGATTGTGTGCTTTCCATCTAACCACTGGATCGGAGCTAACGTAATAAAGAACTGGGAGCCATTGGTGTTGGGCCCAGCATTTGCCATTGATAATATACCAGCTCCTGAGTGCTTCAAGTCGTGTGAGATTTCATCGTCGAACTGGGGGCCGTATATTGACTGTCCGCCTTTTCCTGTGCCAGTAGGATCTCCACCTTGTATCATGAAGTCTCTGATGATTCTGTGAAACTTCGTATTGTTGTAATAACCTCTTCGAATCAACTCCATGAAGTTTCTACACGTTATCGGAGCGTGTTTCCAATACATTTCTATTATTATCGTGCCCATTCTGATAATAAAGAGTACACATTAAGCTGAAGTTCCCTTCAATATTTTAAAATTATTTATAATTATTAATATGTATACTTACGTTGTCTCTAAAACAGCAACGGGTGGTTGCCACGATCTATCGGGAATACCGACGTTAGAATAGCCAAGCATGACTATCGAAGACCTTAACCACCTTTTCTTAATGTAATTTGGTGTAAAACGGACGAACAGATGCAACTGCGGCGATTAAATACTGTTTAATGTTTGTTTAATAACATACAAGCCAAACAAACCAGCCTTGATTGCCAACTGTCATTATCATTAGTGTTAGACTGTCAGTCATAGCAGTGTTGACAACTTGTATTTGTAAAAAAGCTTGAATGCACTAGATGTTTTTTGGATTGGTAAAAAATCCTAAGCCCTGAAAACTCCTTGGTATTTCCAAAAACACCTCGCTTTGCCTGAGGAATCCTCGGCTTTAATTGTCATCAGTGTGCGTTTTGCACGTAGGCATGCTGAAGTAGCCCTTTCCATGCCATGCCAGTAATGGGCGCCAAGAATTTTAAGCAAAAGATGTATTCTTATGTATGTATGTATTTTAACGTTAGTTTAATTTTATACTCTTCAAATCGCATAATAAAACTTAGGTACCTAACTCTTGTAACTTTTGGATTTCTCACCAATTAAAAAAAAAATAGTCCATTCAAGCCTTTTTTACAAAAAACAAGTCCCCCAACACTGCTATGACTGACAGTACTGACACTAATGACAGTAGGCGACGTCAACGCTTGTTTGATTGGCGTGCGTGTTATCACATATTAAACAGTATGTATAGTATTTGATCGCCACAGTCGGCAGTCGCATTGTTTCGTGCGTTTAACACCAAATTACTTTAAGAAAAGGTAGTTAAACTTTTCGACAGTCATGCTTGGCTATTCTAACGTTGGTATTCCCGATAGATCGTGGCAACCACCCGTTGCTGTTTTAGAGACAACGTAAGTATACATCATTAATAATTATAAATAATTTTAAAATATTGAAGGGAACTTCAGCTTAATGTGTACTCTTTATTTTCAGAATGGGCACGATAATAATAGAAATGTATTGGAAACACGCTCCGATAACATGTAGAAACTTCATGGAGTTGATTCGAAGAGGTTATTACAACAATACGAAGTTTCACAGAATCATCAGAGACTTCATGATACAAGGTGGAGATCCTACTGGCACAGGAAAAGGCGGACAGTCAATATACGGCCCCCAGTTCGACGATGAAATCTCACACGACTTGAAGCACTCAGGAGCTGGTATATTATCAATGGCAAATGCTGGGCCCAACACCAATGGCTCCCAGTTCTTTATTACGTTAGCTCCGACCCAGTGGTTAGATGGAAAGCACACAATCTTCGGTAGGATCCAGAGTGGAATGTCAGTAGTGAAACGGATAGGGTTGGTTGAGTGTGATAGAGATGACTGTCCCGTAGATGATGTGAGAATAGACAGAGCCTATATTCCTAAATAATGCTTATAATAGTGAAGTGATTTAGTGTAAAGTGACAGAAGTGTGTGACAGGATCTTCAGGAAGCACACCATATTATTTGACCAAAGAGGTTTGGTGCTAGAGTTGGCCGTTATATCCTAGGTAAAATGTAAGCCAACATAAGCACCTGCTGTATGGTTCTCTTTTGTTTTAATGTTTTGTATAAAAAGTGTAGTTAATGTTGAGCCTATACAAGATTGACTAATTAATTTATTATAATGATCCTTTAGTATTTAACTTAAACATAAGTTATAATTACTATATTCAAATTATTCTTAAAGTATAAACATATACTTATAAATTAAAGATTGGTAGATCATACAATCCATTATGTTGTATACATTTCATAAATTTATTTATTTTGTAATGGTCCTACAGTAAAACATACAAATATACACCATTTTTTTTAATTAACCATGTCAGTAATACTTATTAAGCAATCATCAACAGCCTTTAACAATCTACTGCTGGAGATAGGCTTCTCCTTAGGAAGGAGGTTTTGGCCTACTATACCATGCTGGCCAGACGGGTTGGTATAGGGTTTGTGTCAAGTTTTCCTTCTCTTTGCAGTGTTGTTGTCCTGCATAGTTTGCTCCCGCACTCGGTTCTTACAAAACCCACAGGATGAATGGGGGTGGTGACAATCTGTATTTATTAAGTCGATCCTACTTAATCCGCTTCTGGCCGCGGCACCAAGTCTATCAAGTACCTATTGGCTTGGCACCGACTTCAAACAAACTGGAAGGTATCTATTATTATAATAATGTTACCTATTATATTGAGGGTCGCACTTATTTTAGATTTTCAATTACATTTGTAATTTTTTTTAAATTTAAGTGCTCCTTAGTATTGCTTAAAGTCGGTTCAATTTTATTTTAAAAGGATTTCGGTACTCAAAGGGCAGCTACGCCTCTTAAGCTGCAGGTGTCCATGGGCGGCGGTAGTCACTTACCCTCAGATGACCCATCTGCTCGTCCTGGCACGAATCCTGGCTATGTCCTAGCCTACAAGTTTCTACCTGAAACTTATATTTCTGACGCTTAAATATAGGAAACGAATTTGACTTGACAATCAACTGCATTTGACTAAATAGGGAATACGCATAAAATTTAAATTGGCCTTAATTTTTTTTTTCTAGATTCTTCATTGTCTTTACATTATACCTAAAAGGTATTTTTTTATTTAGGTATTATATAACAGAGAAAATATTTTATAGAAAGTGAAAAATAAAGGAGGGATATTCAAACTTACAAAACGTGTCACCATTGGTCGAAACGAAATGTGACGTAAATGGACACGGCGGGCGCGACATTTATCGGCGTTGATATTCATACTGTGTTAGTAGTGTTTGTGAGAAAAAATGTTTAAAAGTGTATTCCTGTATGATTACTTGTGAATATATATTTGTAGTCAATCTAGGACGATGACAGAAACTGGTCCTTGATTAATATTACATACATTTGAATGGGACGTACTAGGACTTGCTTCGTAATCACTTCTTTGTGAAGGTTCACCAATTTCTAAAATTTTATTACCTTTGACAGCCTATTCTGAAAGAGCTTCATTTACCAGTGATAGTCTTTGCCTTTTAACTACGGCCGTTTTTAAAGCTGGTGGTGGTAAAAATATTCCGTTTTTGACACAAAAATATTCATTATGTTATATTCAATATAATTATCTGTTTCTTTCTTAACCTTAAATAAATTATCAATCATCAAAATTTCGTACAACCGCAATAGGAATAAGCAAGCTCTTTTAATGAACTTTTGAAAACTAGGTTAGGGTTTTCTCCTCCACCCGCCATAATGGCCAGCCGCGAGGAGGTGACATCTGCGTGTGCCGGACGTCACCTAAATAGAGAATGGACCCGAAGGTGGTGCGCGCACAATTGCGGGCTGGCGCTAGGAGCAGTTCCCGGATCCCTTCTATTACAGGCACAGAGTGGCACACCGTGGGGTTTTAGTCGGTCCGATTCCGACACACCACCCCACCGCAAACCCCGGCGGGGTGACTGCCCGAGGGGGTTTCCACACGTAAAAAAAAAAGTTTTAGATCGAATCAACTACTGCTTGATAACTAATTCACACTAAGCTGTACATAAGTATAGCATGCTTACGTCAAAATGATCTTCACAACAAAATACAACCGATAATGGAGATACATTATCCCTTCTCATCATCTTACACAATTTTTTTCGTACTTTCGCATCGCGTGGAATATGAAAAAAAATTTGTCTGCTTACTTACACTGTCGTGTAAATTAATAAAGCAATATGCCGTAAAATCTTAAATACATAATGAATTTAGAATGTTCGTTAAATTAAAACAAAATAAATTTCTTTATAATAAATAATATATATAATTTTCAATATTATTCTATAAAAAAAACTTTCACTAAGAGGTAAACATAGCAGTACAATTTTTACTCTTATCTGCGTCTCTGTACAAGATGGAAAGAGACTTTTTAGCTATCTAAACAAATGGTTTTTTTGGAGCATCAACATTCACAGCAGATAAGGTTAGGGTTGGGAACTTGCTTTGAACCTTCGAAAATAAAAACCCTAGATGTATGGTCTGCGCATGCGCAAACGTACCACGCGCCTTCGGCAATTGACTGATTACGTTTTATTTGTTTGTTGCAATAACTATTGCATTTCATGAAATTCTAATCATAGTGTAGTTAGTTTCGAGCAGGGTGCAGTTTTTCCACTGTGCAAAAAGTACGAAATTCGAAGTATTTCAAGTGACATAGACGGTGTAGCAGGTAGTATCTTTATTTATTTTTTACTCGTAAACTAAGAGGGTGCTGTTTTAATAATAAATAATTTTGGAGAGTGCTATTTAAGATACGTCGATTTGTATTTTTTTTTATATCTCAAATTTACAGGCTGGGGTGGGGGGGGGGGGGGGGGGGTAACAAACACGGGACTCAACCAATGACGTCATCAAAAGCGTGCGCTAAATGGTGGCGTTTGAACGGCTCAAATTTATTCAATGTTCTAAATTTGACTTTGAAAAATTATTTGACTATTTTGAAGGCTATTTATATTTTTTTCCATGTTATAAAGATGTAAATGATTAATTTAAGCAATAAAAAAGAATCATGCATATTCCCTATTGGGTTATAAAGCGCAATCTGCCCAATAATACAATGTGTTCTGTTGATTGCTGTTATTGCTTGTTTCAACCGGTTGAAGATCTTCGTAATCAGATGATGAATACACATAGTCGTAACTATACAGCGGTTGTCTTTGTCTCGGCACAGACGGCACTTCGGGTAATGGACGCAATTGGTGTTGGTTCCTTGAAGTTTCGTTCTGAAATTTCAATTTAAAATATATGAAAACTTTTTATTAAGTGTTTTCTTAACAGAAACAACCACTTCTGAATTGGTTTTACATGTGGTACTAATAGGATACTTTAGAAAAGGTTTGAACATTCCAGAATACTGTACGATCTTGCAGAAGTTTCTAGAGTTGGTTGAGTCAGTCGGGCCCGAGATTTTTTGGGCCTTCACAATTCTAAATGCACGAGCCTCTTAGAATTTACTTTGAGACAAGCCACGCTTAGATCTGGTTGCCGTGATTCGGTATAAAGACATTCTAGTTTTGCGATAAAACGGCGGCAAATAGAGAACAAAACAAACAAATTTTAGAGAGAATTACACAGTGTAAACCAAGTAAGATTATAGTATTTTTATCCCCAAATGATTTCTTGGAAGATATAAGTTTTTCTGATAAAATGTCTCGTTAGTTGAAGGTCAAATAGGTACTCCTAACTTGAACCAATTCTTTCTAGAAAGTCCGAGTATATACCTATAAGACCCGAGCCACTTGTATGTGTCTCTCAAAAGGAATAATTTTTCCTCATTTTTTGCAAAACTTTTTTTTTCTCCGCATTAGTCGTAGGGTAATGATATATGGGCTATGAAACACTGAAAGAATTTTTCATTTGGAACGAGTAGTTCCTGAGATTAGCGCGTTTAACCAAACAAACTCGTATAATACATAGGTAACATAGATACAATTAATGTTATGATATATACCTGACTGTCACTTGTGTCCTTTCTTTTTATGCACGTACAAAACGCCATAGTAATTCCGAAGACACTGACCAACGTAGCCACCGAGAAGCTGATGATCACTACCACGTTCGAATTTGTCGTATCAACAACCGTATCTGTAACTAAATTTAGACTTTATTACGAAAAGTCAAAATGGAAATAACACTGATTGGGTATAGTGACGTCACAAGACACTATGCGCGCTGTTAGATGAAAGAAGGTTTTTTAATTCGATTCCAGTAGAAGATACTATTTGACCTGGCATTACCATTATAGGAAGACACACTCACTCTTTTTTTTTCTGTGCGGAAATCCCCTCGGGTACCATCTACCGGTAGCTATGTCAGACTCGAACCGACTAGGCCTGCTTCTGCTAGGGTGACCGATGGCCTTACCTGTCTCCCCTCAGGCCTGCGCTTATGGAGGACGGAGGTCGTTATGCGACCTCCGGCGCCTGAGTCGTCTGTGGTACCTGGCCCGTTTCCGAGCCTGACGGGCCGGGAGAGTTCTAAACCTCTCCCGGTCCCGGTCCGCCATCTCCTTCACAAGCATAACTTGCTCGCAGAAGGAGGCGGCAGAGTTCCACGCACTCTCGCTCCGCACGATAGCCGCAATCAGGTTATCGAGCGAGAGAACTCCCACTCCGAAGGCCGCCACGAGGTCTCGCCTCTGCTCCACCCACGCCGGGCATTCTGCCAGCGTGTGGAGCGCCGTGTCCACGGTCCGACCATCGCAGTGGTGGCACTCAGGCGTTGGCTCTTTGCGGATCAGATACAAGTGATCCCCGAAACATCCTTTCCCAGTGATCACCTGCGTCAGTCGGTATGAGAGGGTCCCGTGATGCCTCTCGAGCCAGTCCTCCATAACGGGTCTTACCGCCGCGATGACGGCGTGCCCGTCCTAAAGTAGTACTGGCAAATATTAAATAGAATACACAAAACAGCATTTCCTTACTGCTACTCTTAAAGATTAGAAAGAGGCTAATATTCTTCAAGAAGCTTATTCAAGAGCTAATAAAGTTTGGCCGACACAAATTAACTTCGATTACAGCTAAGAATACTGCATTAAGTATATGTAAAATACAGTTAAAACGATAGATAAAATGATTTATATCCATAGTCATACTTACTCGGGTCTGGGGTCTTTGAAGATTTCTTTACACGATGTAGGTTTACAGACACTCTCTGAATGTACATTGTTTCAATATCTGTAGCTTCACACGTAATTGTCGTCTTATTAACTTCGGGTCTAAAAGTAAATTTGTGGCTGATACTCTTAGTTTTATTATAAAATTCTTCTGTACTGTCTGGAATTGCAAGAAAAAAAAGTTAATCACAAGTGATATTTCCAGTTTTCTATATCTGTCACAAATTGATTTCATGCAGAAATTTAAGCAACGGCGAACTTAATGCCTGAGGCAATTCAACAGACAATCAGTGGTCCGATTTGGCGATGCTGGTAAAGGATGTGGTAGATGAACTTGAAGGAAGGTAATATGAAGCGGCGGTAACCTAGTGGTTAAGGCATTAGACTTGCGATCCAAGAAGAGGTCGTGGGTTCGAGTCCTGACCAGTACACTATCGTACATTATCGTAGGCGAACGGAGGATCAACAGCCAAACCCCACTCCTTGTAATTTTAGGGGCACTTAAAGGAAAAACACTTGTACCTCCTGAGCTGCATTCACCATCAGGTGATCCGCCTCTTCGCTTACCCCAGTTTCTATAGAAAAAAATAAAAACAGTATACTTACTTGAGTAAATCCAACGCAGATTGCTTTCTGTTGTAGCCACACACGTAAGATGTAACACTTGATCTTCACTGTATTTATAATCGAGAATCCATGTCGACATATTTTTTTTATAATGATAGATCATATCTGACATAGACAGGCCAATTACATATAGTTCTGGAAGACAATTATAAACCACTTACCGTTTCATTCAATAATAATAATAATAATAAATAATAATAATAACCTAACACATTTCACACACGGCCGTCTGATCCCAAACTAAGCTGAGCCTGTACTGCCGTAAGCAAACTGCTGATAAACATACTTATATGTTTCTAAATACATACATATTGTAGATAAATTACACACCAGACTTAGACAGATTTAATTTATAATTAGCGTGCTTAAATAACCGATAAATTAATCTTATAAGTGTGTATATAATAAGGGTTTAATAAACAAGTATCACTGGGCTACCGGTAATGATTACAAAGATACCCGGTCTGTTGTTAAAATTTGTGATCCTGCTAGTTATAGGTTAATATCCCACTCACGACCAATAATTCTATGATGAGCGTGAACATTTGTTTCGTGTCTGGGTGTTGTGTTATAGATATGTACGTGTGCTTAGAATTGTAATAAGTATGTTTCTGAGTAGCCTGTTTACCATAGTGGAGGCTCTGACTTGAGATCACACTTGTTAAAATAAGGGCTACGTGGACATTAGCATGGGTAATTAAATAGCTTCAAACGCACACTGTGTTACAAGTTATGCCTAAAATTATATTATTTCTATCTATTTATCATAAAATATTCTATACAATGCTGTTGTACTGCGTAGTTTGCTTCCTTAATCGGTTCTAACGACACCCACGGGATAATTAGGGGTGGTGACACTACGTATTTGCCTCTTTCGGATAAAAACGGAGCCAGTGAAAACTTATTTTTAACATTAGTAAAAAGGAAAAAAAACATTACTTACGTTTCGTTTCTACTAAAAACATAATATCAGCGGTTGAAATCATTCGATCGTCGGTTAAGTTACAAGTTAAATGTTTCCCGTTCAAGTGTTCCGTATTTAATTTAATAGTATTCTTCTTTAACCACAAATTTTGCTCTTGAAGTTCAGCTGATTGAAAATAATCTATAATTAATCCTTTAGCAAAATACTTTCAACAAACAAATACACACAGTCTCTCATAATGATTAATAAAATACAATAATAATGATATATTCTGTCGTTTGGTATCGAGGCTAAGATTTTTGGCTGATAGATACCAACCCTTCTTTGAAATGTAAGCGTAATTTTAGTAAGAGTTGCAATGCTCTGAATGAATCTGTTGGGTACGTGTTTTCTTTTTGTTTTTTTTTTTTTAAGATAACTCACGCATTGGAAATAATATATCCTGTGTCGCGGGAACTTTACAAACATACATGAAACGGAAACAAAGAACACCTGGAGTCAGAACAACAATTTGTGGATCACACAAAGTGTCGTCCCATGTTCGGATCGAACCCACAACACTCAGCGTAGTAGAAAGCGGCATGGCGATCGCTTAAACCACTACACCATCCGTGCAATGCCACACCTATTGAACTGTAGGGTTGGACCCCTTGTTTAACCCTTCAGGTAAATGTCTAGACGTGAGTAAGTATTTTAAGGAGTAAGGAGGGTACGTAACGAAGGCCAAGCATACTCGTCATTCGGACACTTTAGGAATTAAATGAGAAAATTGGAAGTACATCGTAAAGGTCATGTACCTTTCGAAAAAGATTTAATCGAAGAGTGTAGTTAATAACTCAAGCAGTTAAAGTTGCATACCTGAGATTCAAACAAACTGTTGCCAAATAACCCTACCCTTTCATCCCCACTAAGAAAGTTATTTCACTAGGAATTAATTCTTGACGGAAATGTGTCGCAAAAGAGTAGAGAAAGTCCATACAGATCTTGACACAAACCCTATACCAACCCGTCTGGCCAGCGTGGTGTAGAAGGCCAAAACCTCCGTTCTAAGGAGAGGCCTATGTCCAGCAGTGGACTATTAAAGGCTGATGATGTGATGATGATGTGATACAGATCTTGCCCTCGTCACCCAAAACGAGAGAAGGATTAGTAGCAGGAATTATTTAAATAGAGAATATCCTGTAATACCTCTACAACATTTGTTTCGCTCCATAAATTCAATCTCATTAGTTTCGAATTGTAAAAAGCCTGATGCAGTTTTATCTTTTCCACAGGTGACCATCAGCGTATCTCCTTCATAATATTTGTATTGATAAATACTTCTGTTGCCCTCACTAACAGTAATTGGTACCAGTCGAAAGTTATTTACATCGATTTTGATAACTCCTGAAATCCCATAAGTAATTATAATATCTTGACAGATCTCACGCATCTGAGTCTGTACTGTGGTAACCAGACTGCTGATAAACATACTTATTTATAAATCTAAATACATGCATATTATAGATTAATTACGGTTAGACACTGAACAAATGATCGTCTTCATCACACAATTATTTGTCTTGGGTGGGAATCGAATTCGCTGCCTCTAGCTAGTAGTCAAGATCACTGACCATCAGACTAACAAGCCAGTCGCCAGTCCCAGTTAACTAAAGAAAATTTATCACCAAGTTCCATCCGCCTAAATCCTGCTGTAGGATGCTGTGTTCTACATCCAAGAATCTTTCCCTCTTAGAGGTTAGAATATCAGTAGAACCAGTTTAATGAAGAAAAGAATGGTTGACATCAGTTCTTTTTTATGGTATAGGGTGGGGGGAGGGGGGCATTGAGTAAACGGGTCACCTGATGGTAGGTTATTACCGTCGCACATGTACATCTACAACACAAGAGTCACTGTTTTCTGTGAGGCCGTGTTATTACTCCGGTCGAGACAGACCATTAATGCCGAAGCTGGCTCTCCCACGGTACACATTTTTTACACAGAGGGAGCAGACGCGCAGACGGGTCAAATGATGGAAAGTGACCATCGCCGCCCATGAACGTCTGCAACGTCACAAACGCGTCACAAAGACCTTTTATAAAAATAATGTCGTATTACAACAAGGATGTTTATCAATTTTTAATACTCTAAATTTCTTAATAAAACGAAATTAGAAAAAGAACCTCAAAAATGCTTTAATTCCTCATTATCATCAGCTTCACAGATACTGTTGCGGTTGCCCCAGCCGGAGAAGCGTAGCGTCATCTGTTATCAGCAGTTAGCACCTTAGTAGTGGCTCAATAAAAAAGACGAACATTATGGAGTGATCCATGATTCTTTGGAAGTTTTCAGAGGGATGTCGAGTCAGTCAGGTCAGACACGAGATTTTTTGGGCAAGTTCTCGAAACTTCTGGAACTTCTATAAGATAATGTCAGAACTACAGAAGACGGCTGTCATTTGATGTCTAGACATTCTCGTACCTACTGCGAACAGTGAAAAGTTGAATTGAAACTCTGTGAGAGTCTTTCTTAACCTCGCTCAATAAGAATTGTTAAACGCCGGTTTGCTTTGAGGTGGTCATTTATGCCAAACCAGAGGTAATTTGTGCATATATTTACATACATCAAACTATATCACATTTACATACCTTTTGATGAAGATTCAGTTTTAAGCTTGAAAACTATTCGATGAGTGTATTTATAATCATAATATTCCGTTTTGTATGTACAAGTAATCATGTCGCCATCATTGCTAGAATGCATTGTTTTTCTAAAGTTTATAGGAACCTGCCATAGTAGATCGGTTTCAATCAATTTTGTGCCTGAAATTCACAAGTAATTTATGAAAAAAATTATACATTTACGCCTGTGACCTTGAAAGAAGAGGCATATTAAATACCAATATTTTGCCAACTACAATTGTTCCCACTCACGTACTGTACCCAGTCCCAAAGAGCTTTTTGGGACTGAATAATGAAAAAATTTAGGAAATTTAACAGTCATTCGAGCCGAATATTACAGTTTGGGACAAGCATTGATCTATTATATTACACTTTGTTTAACTCAATAGGGACGAGGCGGCCATCTTGTACGACAGAACTCGGCCAACTTATTTATTGACCCACAAACGTGTGGAAAAAACCTTCCGACATTGATCATTTAGTTCCTGTCCTGACCACTTTTTGTCAGTGTAAACATCAAGAACTTACTAACGTAAGCTTAAGCTATCTATACATCTATACAAATAAATAAAATTGAAGTTTCTGTTTGTAATATTAAAATAACCGCTTTTTACTAAATGCATATGTATGTTTACGGTAATATGGTACATATGCCAAAATAACATTTTTTTCAATTTTTGTCTGTCTCTCTGTCTGTTTGTTCCGGGTAATCTCTGGAACGGCTGGACCGATTTCGACGGGACTTTCACTGGCAGATAGCTGATGACATAAGGAGTAACTTAGGCTACTTTTTTTTAGACTAGCTTCGCCCCGCGGCGTTGCCCGCGGTTATAACAACAAACGCGGGTAACACCGCGGGTCTCAGCTAGTTGGTAATAAAAAAAAAGATATTACAGTTTTAGGTTTCATACAAACGTAGTGTTATTTAAAAAATTCTATTTCTACCTAACATAGTATTAAGAAAACAACCCTTACAATTTTTATCGTAATATTTTAGTTGTATAGTGCCACCGGCATGGAGATTTACGCAGTCCAGGTCTATAGCCTCGCCAGCTTCATACCAGTAGTGTGATATGGCATCACATTCTACCTCCGAAAAGTCAAGTACAGCAGGTTTCTGTTCTAGACCCCCTATAGTTATGTTTAAATTATCTGCAATGAAATTTATTAATTTTAAGTTTAATAGCTGTCTATAGACTAAAGAATACATTTTAGTCTATGATTCTTAATTAGTCTTATTCTTAGTCTGCATGTTAGACCTTATATTACGAACACCCAACTGAATTCCTTTTTGTTTTTTATATGTCCATCCCCTTATTCCCTTGGGACAACAAACAAGACAGAGTAAAGAAGACGGATAGAGTGATTGAGCTAGCTTGCGAAAAATCGCAAGTCTCGGATGAGAAAAGGGGCTGAAACTACCGAAGCCCAAAAAGGCTGGAGTCGCGTACCCATATTATCATCCTGAGATTAATTATAAATCATCATCATCATAAACAGCCTTATTAGTCCACTGCTGGATATAGGCCTCTCCTTAAAAAGGAAGTTTTGGCTTACTGTACCACAGAGAGAGAGAGTAGACGTTTCGTTTCAAGTTTTCCTTCTTTTTGCAGTATTGTTGTCCTGCGTAGTTTGCTCTTACGACACCCACCCGGATGATTAGGGGTGGAGACATTCCGTATTCTTAATCCGTCGCCACACTGATATTGTTAATACTAAACAATAAAACTTACTTTTCCCTTTAACACGCATGTCAAATATCACGTATTGATCAGGAGAATCCATTTTTATTAAGGTACACTTCCATACTGTACTCATATCTTCTGATGCAGAAGGAACCTGTGAAAATAAAACGTAAAGAAGTATTCACTACCAACTTTTGCCTCAGTGCGCTTAAAGTGCATCTTACAATTTCACCATTATGATTTTACCGTGGAAGAGCCATGATTCGCCACGAATGGGCCGGCTCGACCGGAGTGATACCACGGCCTCACAGAAAACCGGTGTTAAGCAATTTTTTCGTAGCCTTTCACTGAGTGAGTGAGGTTAGCGGAGCCCAAATCCCCAAGGACTCCAAGTGCAGCAACGCACTTGTGACTTTTAAGATGCAGGTGTACATGGGCGGCGGTAGTTGCTTACCATCAGGTGACCCGTCTGCTTGTTTGCCCCCTTATACCATAAAAAAAACATCATTTTTGTCTTACAATTTTCCCGGTTTTCCTCTTCCATTCTCCTCTGCCACTCGTGAATTCACTGATTTCTCCCTTTCTAGCCATATCCTCTTTTACGCAGTCCATCTACCTATTCGTTTGTCGTCCTCTTCTCTTATATCCATCAATTTCCATACATAAAACTTTCTACACTACATTTTGCTCATTTCTACGCAACACATATCCATACCAAGATAACATGTTGCTCATTTATACTTCTGATTGAATTTTATAATGACCAGTGAGTTAGATCAGTAACAAATCAAATAATAAACTTACAACTGCAGTTATCATGAGTGCAGTTAACCAACAATTCTGATAGATACCATATTAGAAACAAAACATAACACATCTTACTGTGTTGTGTAGTTATATCACAATTTAAAAACACATCCAAAACATGCATCAACACAAGGTTTGGCTGCATCCTCCCAAAGTTATCAGATCATTTAAATACCTCTAAAGTACACCAGGTTTCAAATCCATGGGAGTTGTATAAGTGGAGAAACCCCTTCATCAACTAAGAAATGAGTTGACGATCTTCACAAATCATAGCTAAGAACCATCTACATCACATCATGTCTCAAACAAAAAACCGCAATATAATTGGTTCATTCGTTTAGGAGCTACGATGGCACAGGCAGCAACGTCAAACTTACAACGAAAGAGAGGGGTCGTGTATCGTGGGTTAAAAATATATAATTCTTACCATTATTATAGAAATATACTTGTTTTCTTCTACAGCATTCTCAAGCTTTATTGGGAAATTATAAAAGCCATTGTAATAGTGACAGCAACTGAAAAGAAAATATATGTTACAAAGGAATTGCTTGTACGATATATTTTATATACTTCAAATGATATTTATTGTCTTGGAAATACATTATTGCCACTGTAATCAGTAGGTTCATGTTTTACCGCGACCAGCATCATTACGCGGTGGTATTCAATGTGTCTAATGTCCTTGTTCTGAACTCTGGGAACGTCAGTATCTTTTAAAGCCACAACTAACTCGACCTTCTCCACTACCAAGCTAAGCTGGTGATTATTTACAGAAGTTCCTAGAAGTACAGAAACTCCCTAAACATAGGAAACTCAGCACAAAATTACTGTTTAAAATTAACACCTAATAAAATTAACCTACACCCTAGAGGGTAAGCCGAGACGCCGGTTTCCACCACACTGACATTCGGCTTTCACTTTTCACTTATCATACTACTACATACTAGCTATTGTCAGCGATTTCGCTCGCGTGATTGTTTCTTATTTCGTGTTTCTAACTTTGAAAATGACGAAACTCCATTCAACCCCTATAGCCCTTATTTGACCCTCTTAAGAGTGAAATGAAAAAAAAGTTCTATCTTAGTGGGTGGTTACAGCATCAAAAGCATCAGCTGCCAAAATTTCAAGTTTGTAGCCCCCGCGGTTTAGACTCTGCGTCTGACTGATGAATCAGTCACTCAGGGCAAATAATTTTATATGTTTAAATTTATCAGATTTTTACACACTTTCGTAACGGTTGCTTTTTACTCAGACCATTTATAGCATACTGAATTCACGAGACATTTTCCGACTCGGCCACTCACAGGGTCCTTTTAATTTTATTTCATCATTCACTCTAAACTTATTCTTTTAATGTTATAGAAAACCATTCTAGTAATCAATAACTAATCTTCTTTCACACCGTCTACTTATGTCATCATTCTTCTCACTGAAAGCATGTTCAGCACAAATTTTACTTCTAAGTCTTTCGTGCCACACCTAACTCTTCGTACCATTAAAACTGGCGCGTCCACCCTTGTGAGGCGTCACACGGACTTTAATAGACGCGCTCTGACTATTAATTATGCTGTTATTAAGGTTAACTTTCTCCTCCTTCCTCCCTTTTTCCCGACCTAAGTTGGGGTCCGCTTTAAGTCTACTGCGATACGGCTGAACTTCGATTCTTTACATGGAGAGACTGCCATCAGCCCTCCACTACCCAAGTAAGCGATATCGAAGTTCTGTAGAAAAACTGCTGTCTTACTTTTGGGGGCTCGGATGTTTGTATGGCAACCGGGACGTGCTCTCCGGAGCATTGATTAAGTTTAACATTTATTACTCTGTTAATAAGATTAATATTACTTATAATTACTTACCGAGCCTCTGATGCGTTATAATTAAACAAGGTAATATTAAAAGGCATATTTTCTAAAACTACATAAGTTTTAAATGTATTAGAATAATCAGAATAGACTACTGGAGTAATGTTAAATAACACATCTTCTACATTGTTGTCGACACCTGGAATGGATAAAAAAATTACAATAAACATTTATGATGCAACAACAACATCGCGGTGTCCCCAATGACTATGTACCACATTACTTGTAGGTTTCATTAAGAGATAGAGATCGAGTTGTTGCCAACTTCAAAAATGTACTAGCTTCTGCATTTCACAGTAATTTGGATTAGGCAAATCCTTTTTGTATTCGAAAGGATGAGCTTGCCGTTTGGTCCCATTCAATTTCGATGAAAAAATGCCACTTCTAAGAGTGAAAATTAAAGGATGAAAAATCAGTTTATTACAATTTATCATGAGGTAGGTGCTCCTTGGGGGAGGAATTCGTTCAGCTGTGGACGGCGATAATCTGATGATGGTGATGATGATGATTTAGGCCTATGTTTTTTATTCAACTTAACTTTAACTGTAGATGATGTATTAAAGACCGAATCCATCAAGTTTTACATTCATTATCATCATCATCATCAACAGCTTTAATAATCCATTGCTGGATATAGGCCTCTCCTTATAAAGGAGGTGTAGGCTAGGCCAAAAGAGCCAAATAAGAGGCTATAATTGTTTTCAGGTAATACAACTTACGGTGAAGATTTACGAAAAAATTTGATGTTTCACTATTGCTTTTTCCTTCGCAAATAATTTTCATTTCATTGTGGTCGGCTTGCAGAGTAAAAACTTCATTAATATCCTTAGATTTCAGTGTTGCTTTTGTTGTAACATCTACAATTAGGATAGCAATGGTTACTGATTATGAAAAAACGTCAAACTGTTAGTCCGTACGAGAAAAATCAGGATTTTATCATTCAAACTTTTTTTCATACATTTCACACGCGTCAGTCTGATCCCAAACTGCCTGGGCAGAGCCTGTGCTATGATAACCAGACTGCTGATAAACTTTCCGTTCCGTGTGGTGACGGATTAAGAATACAGAGTGTCACTACCCCTATTCATCCCGTGGGTGTCGTAAGAGGCGACTAAGGAAGCAAACTACGCAGGACAACAGCACTGCAGAGAGAAGGAAAACTTGAAACAAACCCTATACCAACCCGTCTGGCCAGCGTGGTATAGTAGGCCAAAACCTCCTTCCTAAGGAGAGGCCTATGTCCAGCAGTGGACTAGTAAAGGCTGTTGATGATAATGATGATGATGATAAACTTACTTTTTAAACTAAAAAACAACATTCTAAATACATAAATATTGTAGATAAATTACACCCATACACAGAAGAACGTGCATCACATCACACAATTGTTTGTCCTGGGTGACAATGACACGTTTAATTTAAAATTTCGTTTAAAAGGTGACAATGGCGACCGACGCAAAATGAAGGGGCATGAAAATTTATTTGAATAAAAATCTTTACTTTTCGTTTTAGTTTGCCAGTTTCAGTTTGAGTTTACTTACTGCCAAAAATCCACCGAAGGTCACTCTCCGTCCTAGCACCACATGTAAGATTCAATGTTTCGTTCACGCTGTACTGGTAGTCCACAATCCAAGTCATGCTATTGTTCCGGTATTGGTACATCACATTTTCAGTCTGTAATCCTAATATATAAAGTTCTGGAAGCAAATTTTAGCACCTTTCGTTGAGTAAATGAGGTTAACCCTAGACCAACCCCCTTCCCTTCCCCTAACTCTTGGGGCAAATGCATTAAAAGAACTGCAAGGCACTTGTCTTTTGCATCGCAGGCGTAAAGCGTTTTAATAAGTGTAGCGATTCAAATGCGGTGCAGTATAAAGCATGTCATGGTATAAAGTAAAGCCATTCAGTTTAGGAACTTATATTGAATTGCTCTGTAATGGAACCATATAATAAAACATCGTGGTAGGCCTGCAGTCATACTTTCCTTTACTGTACAGAGGGCAAATCAAATTTAATATTGGTCATGTAATACACTACCATTTATTCGGGTATATATATGTGTAAGTATTTACTTACCTTTTGTATCTAACACTAACATTATATTGGCTGTTGAATATCCAATTATTTCACATCTAAGATGCTCCAAAGTTAGGTTTTTTGTGTCTAATGTTATTGTTTTTTTCCACTGATTATTTTCAACTTCTGAAAACAAAATTGCGATAATAAGTATAAAAAAAATACAACGTCTAGATTTTTGCGACTTCAAAAAGACTAAAAAACATATTTTAACACCATCCGCCGAACTATAGAGTTATTACTTATTATGCATCGCGCAGTTAGAATTCTTACTCTCATTAGTATTTTCACAGAACTTAACAACGACAACCAGTCGTGATCACCTCGACCTTTGTATAGGAAGAACAAAAGACCCGTTCTTTCACAAAGGAAAGAGTTTTCAGTCTTACACTAATATCAAAATTTGCTAACTGTTTAAAAAGCCTACGAGCAAAAAGATTTAGAAAACCACATAAATAAATAGATATCAATTAGGCAGCCTAATTACTATAAAGCGGACTTGTTTGTCACCTGAAGCCTATATTTTAAATAATAATAATAATTAATAAATTATGAAAATAACACTTTTTGTAAAATTGACGTATTGTGTCCTTCGTCTCCAAAAAGTCCAGATTGACCAAGAAGAAGATAGATAGACTGGCTAAAAGTCTAGAAGAGGAGATAACAGTCAAATTACGAATGATAGAGTAGAAGGAGGAGGAGGACAAAAAACATACTGCTCTGACAACAAATACATGTGGGAAAAGGGCAAAAAGACATCTACCAATAGTTTCTTTCTAAACTTAGTTCAACTGCATATGCCTTACCTTCAAGAATCCTAGATTTTAAGTGTTCATTATTATCGGTGCCAAATTGTAGGTGTCCGGGAAGATCTTTATTTTTTTCACAAGACACCTTTAGGATTTGATTTTCAAAGAAATTATATTGGTAATCTTCTTTATCAAGGTGCTGACTGACATTCGTCGGTATTAATTTCAAGTTATTTACAGTAATTTTGGTGCTGTATACTCTTTGAAGTTTTACTGCAAAAGATGTAGTGTATTATTAGTGTATTATTATGATATTATTAGTCGGTAATGCAAGGCTCTCTGGTAAAAACCTACCCGACTGAAGTATTGGGTGAGTTTTTACCAGAAAGAAATGGGCCAACTCAAACAGAGAGACGGTCTTTCGTTCCTTGTCGCCAAGTGTGAGGTTGCCGGAGCTCAAACCCCTCCTCTCCCTGATTCTGGAGAGAGTACTCATAAGGCGGTAATGCACTTACGACTCTTGACATGGAGAGGTGGCGGTAAGTACTTACCATCAGGTGACCCTCCTGTTTGTTTGCTCTATATACAAAATACAATACAAAAAACTGCTGTCAATTTTCTTACCAGGACCATTTCTTTTCATTAAATTCGCCAGCGCTTCATCAAGGCCCTCTTGGCTTTTCTTCTGACTGTATTCTTTCAGTAGTGCCATCTTCAACATACGCACATCTAAAGAGTCCTCTTGTTCTGCAATAAGTACAATTAAATCGTTAAACTAAACCCCTACCCCCGGACTACCCCCTAACCCGGAGCCCTTATTATCTTTCCCCTAATTATGACGGGGAGGGGGGAGGGGGCAACCCACTTATTTATTTTATTTTTTTATTATTTATTTTTAACTTTTTGCACAAGTACATGCATCGGCGGACTTAATGCCTAAGGCATTCTCTGCCAGTCTTATGACTTTTAGTTGCATGTGTCTATGGGCGACAATAGTCACTTACCTCCGTCTGCCCCTTTATCCTTATCACTACCAACTTCCTCTCCCTTTCCCCTTTTAATAGTAAACAACAATTTCTGTTTTGGGGGAGGGGGCACTCTAATGCCGACAGAGCATCTGTTGACCCATCTGTTCATCACCTATAAAAGAACTTATTTCTGCGCGATAGGGCGCGGCTAAAAGTCGCTGTTAAGATTTACCCATCATCTGCCTACCTTAATCCTAATTTTGTTTGGGTTCGGTGCAGTATGTATGATCTCATTGTTTACGCCCTTTCCTAGCCATATTCACACTCACATAGCCCATCCACCTTTTCTTTGGCCTTCCTTTTCCTTATCCCTCCGTGTTAACGCTTTATCTAATTTAAATAACCGTACGCACTTGAACGTAATTGGCTGAATGTCAAGGTGACGTAACAAAGAGGGTTCGAGAAGCGTCCCCCTTTTTTGACAGACAACAAAAACGAACATGTAAGAACGGCGACCAAAAACCATTTTCTTCTATTATTACTGTGATTACTGTGTAAAGGTAAAAATAAATGTGAAGCAACCAAAAGGCACATAGTTTAATTGAACAAGAAGGCATCGTCGGCAACACTCCGCATCACATGTCCATACCAAGATAACCTATTACTTCTTAACTTTTCATCCAGTGGCGCTACTTTCTTCCCTGTATATACTCATTCCTAACCTTGTCCATCCGAGTCACACCACACATCCATCTCAGCAGTCACATTTCAGCTACGTTCAGGCGTCTCTCATCCGTTCTCTTAATGGGCCACTTTATCAACGAATTACTTTTAAGTGTTATCTATTTACTTACTGTTACTGAATTTTAAATTATACACTTACTATTTGAACTTGAAGCCTCAGGTCTCAGCTTAAATATTGTTCTGTACGCATAACCGTGATGAAAATCATACATTTCATATTTACAGTCTAATATATAATTATTATCATCAACCTGCATAATTTTTTGAAAGTTCGGTGGCCGCTGGCGCAACATTCTGTCAGTCTCAATCAATTTTGTCCCTAAAAGACAAAAATGAAAACCTTATATTTTTACACATCGACGCCCCCCGCGAATAATCCGGTAGTGACCTATTACGGGGTTTTTCATGTTATGCGTTTTTCGGCATCTAGAAGTTAAAATACACCATGTAATTTTTTTTCAGAATTTTTCTATTTTTATTTACGAAGATATGAAAAACTACGCGTATATTCCATAAAAATTCATTAAAATGTATTTTAAACGAATAATATGGTTTTAGATCTTTACGAAAAAAAATATCAATATGATTTGACAGTAAAATTACTTTACGATATTATTCGGGTAAATAGTTTTCTACCTTATTTATGTAACATTTTATTGTTATGACTATTACTGTTTATTCGAATAGTTTACTTAAGTATTATTTGATGATTATTATAGTATATTTTATGAAATAAAGGACATTCTAGTAAATGAAACAACTTTGGTTAGTTTGACAAAACACGATAGTTATTATTATCATAAAAAATAGACACTGCACTGAAGACACGACTATTACACATGATTACACAATCATTAAAATTATAATAAGGTCCTATTACAGTTAAAAATCTTAATCAGAATCCTCATCGTGACCTGATTCAGTATCACAAAAGCTTAAATTCCTATAAAATGGTTGATAATGGTGGGGAATTGCTTGTGAGTTACACAGGCTTATTTTGAATGTACCACAGTCTGAACTGTCAATTTTCCACTACAAACGTAATAATAATTTTACAGTTTTTGACGCTCTAAACAAACTAGGGTTCTGTTACGTTTGGCAAGCTCAAATTGGAAAAAAAGGGTGCATCGAAATAGGGAGTTGCTTGTTTCAATTTGTCAAGACCTTACACGAAAAAGGTATACGCAAAATTATATTTTACTCTTATGGTTGTTATGGCCAGAATAAAAACAGATACATTTTTGCGTTGTATCTTTACATTGCAATGACTCTTCAAATTGAAATTACCCATCATGTTGGCATAGCCAAAATGAATGCCGACTTAATGCACGCATGTATTGAAAGAGCTCTGAAAAACAAAGTTTTGTACACACCGGACTAAGTATATAGTATCATAATGAACGTTAAACTCTCCGAAGACAAATATATACTAAAAGAAATGCAACAATCTGAAATCCTCAACATAAAAGAACTTGCTGAACCCAAAAGATGGCTTCAAGATAAAAGAGGAGAAAAAGTACGATGGTCCGATGTGATGGAGGTTAGTGTGTCATACAGGAAACCTGTTTTCTTTTCAAATATGATTTTGATCAGGATTATATTGAATTGGATTACGATGCAGGCAGAAGTAGACAGCGTCGGCAGAAACAGGTGTCCAAAACAATTGAAAGTATTGAATTAATGCCAGCATATGACAAACCACTCCCTATTCAAAAAGCTTTGTATTATGATCTCCTAAGCCTGTGTAACTCCCAAGCAATTCCCCACCATTATCAACCATTTTATAGGAATTTAAGCTTTTGTGATACTGAATCAGGTCACGATGAGGATTCTGATTAAGATTTTCAACTGTAATAGGACCTTATTATAATTTTAATGATTGTGTAATCATGTGTAATAGTCGTGTCTTCAGTGCAGTGTCTATTTTTTATGATAATAATAACTATCGTGTTTTGTCAAATTAACCAAAGTTGTTTCACTTACTAGAATGTCCTTTATTTCATAAAATATACTATAATAATCATCAAATAATACTTAAGTAAACTATTCGAATAAACAGTAATAGTCAAAACAATAAAATGTACGTTACTGTTAAACAATCGAATAACCTAATTATTACTTTTTACAAATGTTCAGTATACAAAACAAATTACACGAATAATAGCGCAACACGATATTACCGTTGCCGTCGAAAATATAAATTTACACGAATAATATCGCAACAAGATTTTACTGTTGCCGTCGAAAATATAAATATTAACGAACAATATCGTAAGTGACATTACTGACCAGAGCTTGACCTACACTAATATAGTAAAATGCATCCAGCTTAATTATAACGCAGCCCTTGGGACTACTTTAATTTTGTTGAAATAACCAGATAGCTGAAAAAATTAGCTTCCATATGCGATATAAAAAGTCTCTGATACTTGTTGTTTAATGCAGTTATTAGGGAAAAATGTTTTTTTATTTTTCCTGAACACTTACACTTTTACGATTACCGGATTATTTGCGGGGGGCGTCGACATACTTTTTGGTTGGAAATTGGTTTGGAATTGGTTGGAAAATTCCTTCAGATCTCCGGTTCCTCGAGGAGGCAGGAGCGAGGAGTATATAGTGTTTTCGCTAAAACCACTCTGACGGTCTAGCTCAGAAGACGACCCGGACCAGATTTCAGGTCCCTCCGGATTTAAGACCGCGTCTAACCAGGCCCCATCCCTGAAGAAGCTGCAAGCTCCCTCCAGCCATCCGTCTAATAACGACATTGTGGCCGGATTGATGCGTTCAGGCTGCCACCCTATCTACTTTTGCAGTTCCCCTAATCTGCCACCAAAGATTCGTACCCACTCTCTGACGGCCCATAGTTACACGTACAAGAGATCGCCTGATAGTCAAGTTTCGGCTTTTTAAAGTCTTGTTTTATTCTTATCAATAACCAGTATATCTTGAACTGCCACTGTGTAGAGTTTTGTACCATGCTTCGCATCGGATCGGAAAGGGTACGAACGGATGTGGTGATAGCCGATTGCTGCCGCTACGGCTACCGTCGCTAGCTTGCTACAGCCAGGAGAGTATTCTCTTTTTAAAGAATCATTTTTAACCGATTTAAAAAAAGAGGAGGTTCTCAATTCTAATTTTAATATACTTTTTTTATAACTCGGTCATATATAGAGGGTCTTTCAAAATTATTTTTTGTTAGAAAGGGGTTTATTCCAAAATGGTCCCATTTAAGTTTCATATAGATCTAATATAGATCGAAGACAGACAACGGAACTTAAAAATGACAGCAAATCATCGGCGATTTCTACGAGGTTTCCCTAATTTAGTGTTCTTTGTTAGTATTAATTGAGGTCTGTTCAACTTTCTTTAAACAGGATTTATTAAAAGTAAAGTTCTCTATACCTCAAAGAATATTCATATTTTATGGCTGTTGTCAAGAAACTTACATTATTCACTAGCTGTACCCTGCCACGATTCGCTGTGGCACATTGTGTATTGATGAGAAATGAGAAATAAAACTGATACGAAAAATAGATAAAAACAATATGTGAAAGGGTTTGTATAACGTGACAAAATGTGAGCTCAATCAGTGTATTATTTTTTTAGTGTTTCAAGCGTACATAAACCATCTTAACATTTTTATACCATACTAGCTGACCCGGCAAACGTTGTATTGCAAAACAAAAAAAAAAGTAGGGATTGGTCACCCTTACCATTTAGGGGTATGAAAAATAGATGTTGGCCGATTCTCAGACCTACCCGATGTGCACACGAAATTTCATGAGAATCGGTCAAGCCGTTTCGGAGGAGTACGGGAACGAACATTGTGACACGAGAATTTTATTTATAAGATTAAATATATATAAACCTTACCGTTCTGATCATAATAAACTATGTAGAGAAAACCGACGTTAAGATTGTGGCACACCAAATCAATGGTTTCCCCTTCTTCATACCAGTAATATGCAATATTATCGTATGTGAGTTCTGTCGATTCTGATAGAGAATTATTCAGTTTTAATCCGCCAACAGTCACGTCAATTTTAGCTGGAACATATAGAAATGTATATTATTTCTCATACTACATAAATCATACGTCACTTTTACAAAATATAGGTTAAACTGTATTTAGAATTTAGATCAATCTTGATTTAAAATAATTATGTTTTGTTTCCTTGGAATTAAGAAAAGTTAGTCAACGGTTGCAATTACTTATTCCAATTATAAGAAACTAGCTAAGCAACTGATCGACACTTCTTGTGACCAGGAGCTGACCTTTTAGTATTACCATCGCCAACGTTGCAATACCGCCAGCTTTCATGCTTATGGAGGATGGGGGTTGTTCAGCAAATTCCGGCGCCTGAGCCACCTGTGGTTCCTAGGACGTTCCCGTGACTGGCGTACCTAGAGAGTTATCAGCCTCTTGCGGTCCCACTCCACCCTCACCTTCGCGAGCATAGCTTGCTCGCTGAAGGCGGTGACGGAGTTCCACGCGTTCACACTCTGTATGAAGACCGTAATCATGGTACCGAGCAAGAGAAATTCGACTCCGATGGCCGTCACGAGGTCGTACCTCTGCTCCACATACGCTGGGCATTCTTCCAGTTGTGTGGAGCGCCGAATCTCGAGCCAATTCTCCATAACGGGTCTCACCGCAGTAAGAACATCAATGTTGTACTTGACATGGTGACGTTTTATTGAAGCACACCATAGCTGAAGCATCTTATGGAGAATGAACGTTGCTTGCTCTCAACCATTTCTTTAAATGAGTGCATGTAGCATAATCTCTAGGGATAGATTGCCTCTGAGCGATACTTGTACTTGTCTAACCCAGTTTAAGTTAATTTTTGTAAGTATACCTATATATATATACCTGGTGTACAATAAAGTGATATATTATTATTATAATCTAGACATAAAACAACTCACGAACGCCTTTAACACGAACTTTGAACGTGATAATCTGATCAGGATCATTTTTTCTACCGAAAGTGCACATCCATTCTAAACTCATATGTTCAGATGCTCTTTGAACCTACAAAAAAAACAATAAATAAATTTGTGCATAATATAAAGAAAATTTATTTATTTATTATTTTCCACACTTAAATTATTATTTGTTTTGATAGGAGTATCCTATCAAAACAAATAAATAATAATCGTTTTAGCAACTTATTATAAAAATACATGTTTTACATGAGTTCTACTTCTAAGTGAGTGTCTTGTAACATATACAAAGTAAAATGAATATAAAGTGATTGACCTCTAATCAAACAAAGGTATATACATATTTCCACTTTAAGTTTTTTTAAAATAGCGATCTACAGTTTGATAACACTACAGTTATCAGTGTTGCCAATTTATATTTTCAAATATTTTTTGCCTAGAACTTTAGAAATAGTCGAGCTAAATAACTGCAGAAGTCGAAAATGCACCAGTGCACTACCGCGGAGCAAATACAAAGGTCACAATGCAGGCGTGCGAGGGTGCAGGGCGAGGTTTGCAGGCGGCGCCGGGGGAGTAGCTCCCGCCTTTCACCTCAGGCCTCGACTGCATTTAACTTACACACATGAACTCGTAATTGTTATTTATACTTGTGAACCGAATTTGTTGTTTAGTTTTTGAAGTAAAACTTCTTTACGCACGCTTGACTTGGGGAGTAAGGTGGTGAATGAGTGACGAGAGCGTGGCGAAAAGTGTGATCGGGCGAGGGGAACGGAAGTTGAGAGGGAGATATAAGTTAGTGAACATAGAAAGAGAGAGAGTTACGTTCTGTATATTACTGTAGGGGAAAGAGAGAGAGCACATTTTTTTCTCTCTTTCTCTCATAGCCAAGAAGTTTTACTTCAGTCGTGTGGTCTAAAGCACACTCGTTTTTTATAAAAGGTTGACTTTTTTTCGTCTTCTATGGAAGTTTAAATGAGTGATGTATTTTGATCTCTGGATAACTATTACTAGTTCATTAATTGAGCAGAGTGTTATGTTCTCAAGTTAGCCAAATTATCACAAACTAGCTAATACAGAACAGTAAATAAACTGACACGCTCAACTTTGCCTCCTTCTCTCAAAAGGAATAAATATTTGCCATTTTCGCAACATTTTTCATTGATAATCGCCTCCTATTGGTCGTAGCATAATGTTATACACTATATCCTTGCTCGATAAAAGGGCTATCTAACACTGAAAGAATTTTTCAATTTGAACCAGTAGTTCCTAAGATTACACTGAACATACAAATTCACAAACTTTAACTCTTTATAATAGCTTAGATTTATAAAGTATATCGGTTATCGCGATAAAAAGTAGCCAATGTCCTTCCTCAAGAATCAAACTATCTCCATACTAAATTTCATCTAAATCGGTTTAGCAGTTATTGATCTCCCAAACAAACTTTAATCTCCTTTTCACCCTCTTAAAGGATGATTTCTGGAATAAAAACTATCCTATGCTCTTTACCGGGACTCAAACGATCTCTATACCAAATTTCATCAAACCAAAAACCAAATTTCATCAAAGGTATACAGACAGACACACTTTCGCATTTTTAACTTTAGTATGGATCTAGTTAAACGCAATGGATTAGCCCCTATTAAGTCAATGTAAAAAAAATACAGTTAACTAAATGTATATTCAGTGGTTACTGTACTGTCGGAAATATACCTAGGTGTTATCATAGGAAAGCCATGCTTTGGGACAATTGACCGACTCGACTAGAGTGATACCACCCCACAGAAAACCGGTGCTAAATAGGGATGAAATAAAATCTAAATCACATGTGATAAATCATACGATTTAGAAAGCATTTCATCACATCTGTTACTGATTTACAAAGCCACTGCTACTTAATTATTATTATTACGGGATCGCAAGACTCGCGAAAGGTCTAAATCTAAAAAAAAGGTCTTAATCTTTAAAAAAGGAATTTTGATTTATTTTAATGCAACTTATCTTTGTCCATGAATCACAATCATATGTGAAATCGCTGTAACTAAAACCAATCATGTCATCTAATCAATATGATTTAAAAGTAGCAATAATTTCCATGTCTAGTGCTAAGCAATTCTATCCTCTCCCCCCTTATTTCTGTGGGAGGGGTCAATTACCATCATTGTTCTGTTCGGTTGCCCCTTATTCATCCCTTTCGTGTGAGTCTTAAGTATGAGATGTTCTCTCTGATGAGATCTAGAGAAGAACAATGTGGCGACTCCCACATACAAAAGAAACAGAAACTGCGCCATGTAACGAAGACACACCGAACTACGGAGTAACTCCTGAATGAGAATTGCCAATACTGTATCGCGATAAGAATAATTCTCTCACCGATTAGAATATATACAAGTTCCCAACTTCAACCGTTGGGCCGCGGCCCGCCATACATGATCATCTCGCCTGGTCGGATCATCCTCCCTTTGTGTTGGAGGGACATGACTCCGTTCACAACGTGTTGTCACTTAGTCTTACCTTAATTACTGAGTTCCATTTCCTCTTAACCTTGATCATTTCAACATACCATGTCAATGAAAACGATTTGCGCTTGCTGCGGCAGCTGAAAAACAATATGATGATTACACAAGTGGCTCTTGTAATATTATATAATAACTGTGTACACACACGGCCCTCTGATCCCAAACTAGGCAACACCTGAGAGCCTATATTCCGTTTATTTAACATCAACTCGCTCTCGACAGCGAGCTCGTTCATCTTTGCAATTTGTGAAGATTTCCAAACGCGGTCGCCGTGACGATCGAGTGTATCAATATTTATTTTAAAAGTATGGGTAAACTCGAAGTGAAAGTGAGTTTCTTAGTTATGCTTTTACGCCTTAACCACTAAATTGATATTAAAAGTTATTTAACTAAGAAAAGGCCACATTATCAGCGAGTCACATAGGCTACTTTTTACCGCGATAACCGACATACATGCGGGTGGAGCCGCGGGAATACAATCCCCACCCTACAAATATGTAGAGGGTGGGTTTTGGACTCCGATAACCTCACGTCTGTGTGGTGATGGATTAAAAATACGGAATGGCGCCACCCCTATTCATCCCGTGGGTGTCGTAAGAGCCAACTAAGGGAGCAAACTACGCAGGATAACAGCATTGCAAAGAGAAGTAAAACTTGAAACAAACCCTATACCAACATGTCTGGCCAGCGTGGTTTAGTAGGCTACAACGTCCTTTCTAAGAACAGGCCTATGTCCGGCAGTGGACTGTTATAGGCAGTTGATGATGATGATTGATAAACCTCACGCAGTGAAAAGCAACGAAGGATTTGCTAAACACCGGTTTTCTGTGAGGCATTGGTATCCTGGCCGGGGTGGATATGGAACCTCTGGCTTAGCCGTCGAGACCAATAACTATTTCTAGTGGATTTAAAGATTTAAAAAAAATACAATTAAATACGGCGACCTGCGAGTCCAATATAATAACGCCTTCAGGATGCTGATAGGGCTGCCGAGACACTGCAGTGCTTCTAGAATGTTTGCTAAGGAGTGTGTCGACGACTTCCAAGCCATAATAATCAGGGATAGCGTAGCGGTTTAAGCGGTCGCCACGCCGCCGCTCGCTTCCTACTACGCTGAGTGTTGTGGGTTCGATCCCCACAAGGGACGACACTTTGTGTGATCCACAAATTGTTGATCTGAGTCTGGATGTTCTTTGTGTCCGTTTCATATATTTTTGTACAGTCTCCCGTGACACAGGATATATTCCTAATGCGGGACTTGTCTTTTTTAAAGAAAGAAGCGAAGAAGAAAGCGATGTGCGTCCTTATTAAGTTTTTATTACGAGGGGCAGTGCTAACAGCATCCTGGCGGCGTTATCAAACCGGTGGTATTCCCCCTTTTTAAAACGTAAAATGAGAATATAACATATTAAATAATATTATGTGCCTTACTAACAATAGTTTTTAAGTGAAATATTATTATGTATACTAACAACTCTGGACTTGTTTCGAAATACACTTATTATTATTATTAAAAAGTTACTGCAAAAATAGGTACGTAATCTGCACCCAAGCCTCAACAGGAAAACAAACCATCTACATCGATTTATTTACTATCAAAATGAGAACAAGAGTATTATCAGTAGCCGCAGCAAAGAATGAACGGAAATGGAATTTTGACATAATTAGCTTACCGTTGTGGCGATATCTATACACAACGAAAATATACTTCATTGTTATATTGAGTAAGAAACGCTGGAATACCTGGTGACTAAACCTGAATCACACAATAATGTATCTCAGCACGATCAGTATATACATAGTAATCATCATCAACAGCCTTTAACAGTCCACGGCTGGACATAGTCCTTAGAAAGGAAGGTTTGGTCTACAATACCACGTTGGCCAGACGGGTTAGCATAGTGTTTGTTTCAAGTTTTCTTTCTCTTTGCAGTGCTGTAGTCCTGCGTAGTTTGCTCCCTTAGTCGGCTCTGACGGCACCCACGGAATGTATAGAGGTGGTGATACTCCGTATTCTTAATCCATCACCATACTGAAAATATAGTAATAACAGGTAGTATATATAGTTGATGTAGCCGTATACATAGTAGTTGGTTTGCAGCCCTCGAGGGTTCACCATGTCTGGTAGAAGAGGAGGGACACAACACCCAAAGTAAAAAAAAGCCAGATAGAGCCTATAGATTTATTAGTACCTAAGTAGTTCAACGTTTTTTTTCTAGATAGCGCTGGCGGGGGGGGGGGGGGGCGTACTCTTAAGGGTTTTATTATATAACTAAATACACTGACGGACACATAACTGCATCACAGTTTGGATTGCTTTTAAGCATGCAATTATTTTTTTAAGTGGAGATGATCCATTAATAATTAAAAAAAATAGAGATTGAATAATACCTTTGACACTACCGGTGGTGTCATGGGGATTGAAAATTACCCTTAACACTACCGTAGGTGCATTGGGTGGTATCACCAGTCCGAGACGAAAAATTGAGGGCTGAAGAATACAAATTTTTACATTTATTTATTTCTTCCTTTTTGTACACAATAAGTACATATATATTTTATATAACTGAAAAGGATTTTTTTGTACAAAGACTTATTAGCTAAGCTTATCTTAAGCTAAGAAGCTTATCTTGAAACTGAGTTTTCTTCCAGAAAATCTTGAATTAATAGAGATTACCAGATAAACGTAAAGGTACAGTAAGGCGTCCTTGAAAACCAGTAGAAGAAAGTAATATACATATACATATATCTTATATATAAAATTCTCGTGTCACAATGTTCGTTCCCGTGCTCCTCCGAAACGGCTTGACCGATTCTCATGAAATTTTGTGTGCACATCGGGTAGGTCTGAGAATCGGCCAACATCTAATTTTCATACCCCTAAATGGTAAGGGTGACCCATCCCTAATTTTTTTTGTTTTGCAATACAACGTTTGCCGGGTCAGCTAGTATATATATATATAATACGTTTATACATATCACATACTAAGGGCCTGCTTATTGTAGGGATAGATAATTAATAATCCCTGGTTCTTTTCCTGGAAACACTAAGAGCTATCACGTATTGCATGCGGTAAGGCCTTCCATAGCCGAACAGCACAGAACAGCAGAATTTGTTAGTGGGTGCAAAACGTTCGAAGCGAACTCATAAACTAAAATAAAAAGCGACTAAAGTTTTGAATTAAATCTTCATACCTTTATGTGTAAAATCTCATACGATACGAATCGTACAATCATGAGTGTATGTATTTAGTACGTATGTATGGTATTTATATCTATCGCATTGTTTCTGTTTAATTTCTCAATAATTTTCATTTACTTTACATATCAATGTCTAGTGCTCCTAGTCACACATTTCAGCACCACCCTAAGGTAGACTGAGAAAAAATGCCTGTGCCATTAAGTCCCCTATTGTACAACTCATACTTGTGCATAAAGAATTTAAAAAAATAAAAAAAATAACACTACTATAGTATAATTTAGTCTAACTATTGTCTAAGATCTATTTTAAACCGAAATGTCCTACACTATATATATTGGTCAAATAAATTATTCTTATTATTATCATGATTTAAGCACATTGATGTCGGTAATACATTTTTAAAAGTTAACTAATTATTCATTTTAAACAAACTATTTTAAATAAAATTAAAGTAATTACTTAATAACAATCAGATTATGTACTACGCGCTATTTTTATAATTAAATAAATAAATTTGTCCCGTTTTTGCAACCTTTTTTCATTGATGCTTCGCTCCTACTGCTCGCAGCACGATTGTATAGCCTATGGCCATCCTTGTTAAAAAGGCTGTCTAACCCTAAATTATTTTTTAATTCGAAATAGTTATAGTAACCGGCACGGATCTTGAGCTCTCGGCGGCAGAATGAGTATCTCGCTGCGCATTGTGCACTTATGGCAATATAAAATGTACACCCATTTCTTTTTTCTTATTTAGAATAAATAATAATAGACGAAAACCTAAGACGTTACGTAGTAAAGTTACTACGTAACTTCTTATTGATTCTACAGTAAGAGAAATGGGTTTGATTAAAATTTTAATAAAAAAACCTAAGTATTAATTCTGTTTAAAAAATATTTTCCCTCTAAAACTATTAGGGTGAAATAGGAGTGACAGCTTCCATCAAATAACTTTCTTATTTAAAGCTGGTTCTGGTACAGTGTCCATTTCTTCATCGTCGTATTGTGTTATACTCGTAGGTACATATTAGAGAATACATTACGCCATCTAATACACTCGCATAAAAATCTCAATTTTTAACTACCAAAAAATTATATTGATGAATAGCGAAAGTGAAATGAACAAATTATTAAAAAAAAAGAAGAAGAAGACCCTATTAATTTGCTCGGAAGTGTACTCCGAGTAGGTACTAAGAATACAGAGTGTCACCACCCCTATTCATCCCGTGGGTGTCGTAAGAGGCGACTAAGGCAGCAAACTACGCAGGACAACAGTACTGCAAAGAGAAGGAAAACTTGACACAAACCCTATACCAACCCGTATATATATTTACCCGTCTGGCCAGCGTGGTATAGTAGGCCAAAACCTCCTTTCTAAGGAGAGGCCGAAGTCCAGTAGTGGACTATTCAAGGCTGTTGATGTGATGTGATGATGTACTCGTCGTACTTTAGAACGAGAATCAGGAGCAGCGACAATATCGGTGTAATTGCCCCCCGGTACCTATAATCCCGAGATTAACGCGTTCAATCAATTGAACTAAATCTTCAGCCTTATAATATTAATATAGATAAATATTGAAACCATTTTGGCATTGGTGATAAATTGAAAAATTCCATCTGACAGTTGAAAACATAACAAAATGTTGCCGTGTTCAAATTTTGATGCATTAAAAATATACTCACTAGGCCCCTGCTGATGTATAGTCCACTAGAGTAAGATTAAATGGTTTATCACGTAAAACTACGAATGTTTGATTCACATCAAAATTTCCAAAATAATGTGCTATTGGTTTATTGAATATGATATTGTAATTTATGTTCTCGAAATCTGGAACTGAAAAAAAATATTTTTTTTAATGTTGATTCCACTATACACATTAAGACACTACGACACATGAATTTTTTACAATCAATAATGCAACGGCAGCGGGCGCAAAGACTACAGACTTGGTAGAACTATTTGTAAAGCATACACATTTCCCGTACGATGTGGGTATGGAATGCCATCACACGGTACGTAAGTAGTAGTGAGGGAACCTCTGCAATCATTGTTACACCCGTTCTGCTAAATTACAGAGCATCCATCCATTTTTTTAGGTTATCTTAAAGCATCCTCACATACGAGTTAAAGGGACCATCTGTAAGCCGTAGATGACCCGGGGTCCGTTAGGGTACCAGGGATTTCCTTTCTAGTTTGCACCTGGTTCCTCGGCTACTGGTATCCCAGATGGCGTACGGTTTCTGTTTGACATAAGTCGGACTCGAACCGACTACCGGCCGTCCGATGGGGGGTATCCACCGAGATTTCCCCATGAGTTTTTTTTATCTTATTATAACAAAAATGAGAGCATCAGATTTTAGAAAAGACTTCATTAAGAATTTCCAATTCTTAAGTTGACGTTTAAATATCTAATGTTGATTAAAATTGTACTTAATAATAAATTAAAATAAATCTGATTATTAATTTAATATTGAAACTCACAAATATTATAAAAAAGATAAATAAACTTACCAGATTCTACAAGTAAATTAATGTTTACTACAAGAAATATAAAAGTTCGATACATTGTGAAAAGTTTTAAAACGATGGTAGCTTTTGATCATAACAACTTGATAAATTTGATATTAAATTGTAAATAAAAGTTACGTGTTAGACTGCAGTTGTTGCTGTTCTAAGCAACTGTTATGGCTGTTGTAAGCAACAGGTCGATACAGTCAGTTAGGTACTAGTACCTAAATGACTGTATCGACCTAAAAGACGCAGGCGAAGTTGCGTTGAACAGCTAGCTGCTGTTCAACTTCGCCTGCGTCTTTTAGGAGGAATAAATTTGGTCCCTTTCTGCATAATATTTCATTGATGCTCGGCTCCTGGTGGTACTGTGATGTTATATAATGGCCTATAGCCTTTCTCGATAAATGGTCTATCCAACATTAAAATAATGTTTCAATTCGAACCAGTAGTCTCTAAGTTTGGCGAGCAAACAAACAAACTTTTCAGCTTAATAATATTAGTAATAAAGTATTGATTTATCATTATTTATTTATCAATGTAATTAATTAAAATAGTAACGAACCACAACTTTGCCTGTTTGTTTTTGATTTCAAGTCTTATTAAGTTACAAAAGTTATAAGGAAAAATAATTTTACTAAAATAATTAGAATTTTGCTTTTAAAAATACCTACGTTTACTTGTGGTGTAAAGTGATTCGACAGAGAACTAGAGTGGAGTGGAAGTGATCCGGTCATTTCTCCAGACGGACTGATGGTCGCTAGAGCCAAAATGTGATAGAGTGGAAACCGCGATTAGGCAAACGTAATGTAGGGCGCCCTGCGGCACGATGGACCGACGACTTGAAGACCAAGACCGGAGTACTTGGCGCTCTTTGGGGCGGTCTTCGTTCAGCAGTGGACTTTGAAAGGCTGATGATGACTTATATTTACACAATTGTATTGTATTTCATTTGATTATTATAACGTTTTATATACACGTGGCGAGGGATTTAGAGGACTATGTCTTCTGACCAAGCGGATTAAAAAAGATTTAAGAAAAGGATTAAAGAAGATCCCAAACAATTTAATTTTTTTATGAAATAAAGATATTTCTAATTTGAATGGTCTCTGCAATCAAGACAATACAGCGAAAAATCGTGGGAGAGCCATGCTTCAGCCCGTATGGCTAAACCGCAGTGGCCCAAACCTCCCCTCCTATAAATCTGGGAGAGGGAGAGGCACTCAAAGGGTGACAAAATTAAGTTGCATGTGTCCATGAGCGCCGGTTTTCACTGTCTATCAGGTGACCCGTATACTCATTTCCCACTTTAACATAGTGTTATGTATGTTTTGAATGTATAATTATTGTATGTTTTGAAAATAAAAATGAAAATGTGAAAATTTCAACTGTCTAACTAAATCACGGTTCATGAGATACAGCCTGGTGACAGATGGAGAGACAGACATACGGATGGACGGAAAACGGAGTCTTAGTAATATGGTCCCGTTTTACCCTTTGGATACGGAACCCTAAAAAACATGTATATGACCGCGACTTCTTCGAGTCACTGCAGTCTCATTCAAGTTTACAGTCCAAGAGTTACGGTATCCCTTACTTTCCTTCACACTATCCGTTATCATATCTTATCTCCTTACTTTAAAAATTACATTCCCAAAGAGGCTCGTTGTTAAGCAATCAGTAAGTAAAAGAAATCAGCCCGTACCCTTCAAAAAACGTCATAAATGACGACCTAGACGTTGGGTTTCCAATTCTCGTCAAGATGTGTCAGGTCTTCTATGAAGGAACAGACGTTTCTAATAATCTCTTTTCTCCTCATACAAAATTAAAATTAATAGGTATTATTCAATTCAAAATATCAATGAAACAAACTCGAAACAGTGTTGTGGTATATTTAATTATACCATTTTATCTATCTGTTAATTTACGAAAGAGTGGCCGTGAGTTTGTTTGTCCTTTCTTCTCATGAGGCTCAACCCCTTGGAAACGGGCGGTTGTAGATTGGCACAGGCATATAAGAGATTTTCGATAAGTATATATTTAGTTTGCTAGATATTTGACAAAATAGAGATTGTTGCTATTGTGTGTGTTGATCTATGACTTTAGAGTCTACAGTCATACTCATAAAAGACGATTTCAAAGTTTTTTTTTATGATATAAAGACATTTTGAGTTTTAGTTTGAGTACCTAATGTATTTTATAGCTGGTATATAATTGCGAACATTCACCAAGTACACTTGGAAGTCCAAGTATTTTGTTTTCCTATGAGTTCGACTCGTGAAATAGACATTTAACTGGTGGTGCTTTCAGTTTAAATTACCTTTAATGCGCACAGTAGGCACCAGTTAGAGCTATACCCATGGGCACTCTATTCCCCTGCAATAAAGATCATTTTATTTAAAAAAAAGTATGTTATTAATAAACATACTTATATATTCCTAAATAAAAATTATAATTAAATTGCACCCAGACAGAAAAAAATATGATCATCACTCAATATTTGTTGCGGGCGGGAATGAAACCAACGCACTCTGGGTAGTCATGATCGCGAACCAGGCCAATAGACTCTAATATTGTAAAATTTATTTGTAATACATTTGTTTGCACTTTAGTGTGCGAAAATATGTAACTTTTTTTATTCAATATGTACAGCTACAGACAGCAGATCAAGATATACAAAGTGTGGCCTTTATACCAGTGAGCTAACCTGAAGTCCAATTACAACTGTAAATAACTGTCAAAGCAAACAATATTTTAAAAAAATAGAAATAAAAAAAAAATACAACTTAAATTAACAACAAAGGTCTTATAAGGTTGTAATGTAATGTAGCAGAGTAAGATTGTAAGTAAGATTGATTGATTGATTGATTGAGAGTAAGATTGAAAAGATCTAAGTTTGTCGTGAAGAATGTCTACCTGTTAGCAAATAGCATTATAATTTTTACACATTCTGTGCAAAGTATTATTCTGAGACGCATTGTTATTGCTTGTGGAAACACTTAACAGCTGAGGAATACGCACAAATCGAGTTGGCGTTTTTATGTCTATATGCTCAACAAGGTGGCCATCCATTGAAAAATTTACAAAATGATCAATACCACAAATTGGCTATGGTTACAGGCTAACAAGGCAAAAGACAAACTACAGCCAGTTGCTTGGAACGTCAGTCAATTGAGTAGTTCTGTAACATATGCACACCTATTGATCACATATCATCCTCACATCAACAGCTGGATTGGTTTAGGGTTTGTGTAAAGTTTTCCCTCTTCTTTTTGCAGTATTTTTTATCTACACATTCACTACTGTATAAAATATTGGTTTAACCAGCATACACAAAGTTAGATACCGCACGACTCCACTGACGCTCATAACACGTTGCATGATGTTTGATTCAGTAGCTCAGTTTTTAACATTATAACAGTTAATAAATCCTCGGTTTATCAATGTAAAGTATCTAAGCTCCAGTCAATAGTTTGACTGTTTCACAATGAGTCCCTACTTAAGATTGTTAGTTTTTAATGTACTAAATAAGTTTTAAGTTGCTACTATCATAGTTTAACGTAAATAATATAGACGGTTCGAAAACATTAAGGTTTAATATCATTGAATTTTCTTGGTGTGAATATAATCACTAATGGATTAACATTCAGATTCATACCATCAAAATGGACTTGTTTTAAAGAGATATACAAGATAAAGAGATCCTGCTATTAAATAATAAATTGCTTTCAATTAAACCAATTCGACTGCTTAACTGTTCTAATGTAATATACATTGAACCTCCCTGGTCACAAAGGTTCTGTACCAACTTATGAAATCGGTGCTGAATAACTTGCAATACCGCAAGAAAATCGAATTGAATTCTTTTCGTATCTCTACATGAAACTGTCTCAAAATGTCAAATGCCAAAAGACTAGTATCTATTTCTGTAAACATTTTGAAAAAAAGAATTTGTCGTGTTGTCAAAAGTGTACTAGTAGAAATTGAATGTCGAAACAGTATTTTAGTGAAATTATCAGTGTACTAAGATATTAATCAACCGAAACATGTACATTAAACAAGCGATAGTGAAATAGTTCAACCATTCAATCGTCTTTCATTGTTAGTTTCACTTAACACGGTTAATAACGTTTGAAAAATTAGTGAGCATGGATGGAACTTGGGTTCTTATTTTGCTTGCTCTGGTGATGCTCGTGGGGTCCTATATAGCTGGAAGCATACCTTTAAATGTCTCCATGTCTGAGGTAAGTGAATATCTTCGAACGATGACCACCAAATTACAAGAAAACCATTCGTAAACTTTCAACCATATCGCAACACTTCCGCATATGTTTTGAAATATTTACGCAAATATTACAAAAGGCTTTGTTTGCTTCGTATTGATTAGACGAGCATGTAATATAGTTTTAATTATTGACTAATATACGTCCAAATTACACTCAAATATTGTTAATTTTAGTTTATAAAATGTGGAAGAATACAATTACTTCTTTGTATCATATTGAATGCCATGCATAAAAACCAGCCGTCGCTTCCACTACATAAAGAAATTGAGATGAAACTCTGTCCAACATAATATATATTCAAATAAATATATTATTTACTATGACTGTGGAAAATGCATGCTACATAAAGAGAAAGCATAAACAGTATTTATAGGTATAACACAAGAAAGCTCTTTGGTATTTTTTTTCTTTGTTTTCTTTTTTAATAATAGCTTATGGTTACCTGTTCCATAGATGGATAAAAACCATATTAAAAATAAACAGCTTATATACCTATAGATGTATCCTTAGAAAATATAAATACAAACTTTTTAGTAAAAAGGTACTGTACTTGGTTGACAAAATTATATATAAATTCCTAAATCCAAATAATAACAATAATATTTTGGACATCTGATGCACAATGCCATCTAGTTTCAAACTAAATAAAGCTTGTACTATAAAAGCTAGATTGACTGGTAGAATAATTGTGTACTTTTTAAATCTGCTGTCTCTAATTAATTAATCTTATTAAATAGACATATTTAACTTGCAGACTATTATAATTTCTGTGACGGCATGTATTACAGTTACTTTGCCATGATAGATTACACAAATTACAAGATTATTACTTGTATAAATTATCACCTGATAACTCACTAAACTTCTAAATTATTTGATGCATCCCAATTTTTTACAAATGAGTATTGCACTTGGCTGGCCACCTTAACAAGCAAGCTGCAGAGAACCACTGCAGACTTAGGCCAGCTGGTGGACAGGTGACTACACCGTGACATACAAGGACCCTAACACTCCTCTCATTGCTGTATCCCTGGCAATATTTATGCAAAGATTCCTTATTTTGCTTGTCAATCTCATTTATAGACACGTTTTTCCCACGGTTCCGCCTGTGGTGTGTATGTCAGTTATTACAGAAAAAAGAAGCCTATGTCCTTTCCCGGCACTCAAACTATCCCTGTACCAAATTTCATTAAAATCGGTTTAGCAGTTTAAGCATGGTACAGGTAACGGATAGACAGACGCATTTATAATATTAGTATGGATGTTTACAATTACTTTTACATTTTCATAAGATTTACAAACAAATTAATTAAATTAATACCCAAACATAATAATATTTTTTTTTTAGGACAAACTCCAAAAAGTCACAGTATTCGGTGCAGGACTTTTAGTTGGAACAGCTTTAGCGGTGATCATCCCTGAAGGAGTTAGATCACTGTTCAGTGAACGATCGCACCCCACTGTTGTGACTAAAGACTTTACTGCCGAACCGCCTGACCATCATGATGACCTGCATTCGGTTATTGGAATATCACTTGTTTTAGGTAAGATTAACTGAAAGATATTTACGAAAACCAGAATAATAATAATAAGCTTACACATCGCACACATTTCTGTCTGATCCCAAACCCGCCAACTTTACAGGTAATGGAAGTGCTGATGAACATACTTAAATATTTCTAAACTAACTGGTATCCACGAGTGACTTTGTTCGTGTGGAATTTGAAAAGCGGTGTCTTAGTGGTGTAGTACAGTACGCCACTAAAGTCCATGAGGCCTCGGATTCGATTCCTGGATCGGGACAATTATATAGGGTTTTTCTGGGAGGAACAGCTACCTGGTAATAAAATGTAATCAAAATCGGTCCAGCCAAGGTTTTGAAGATTACCTGGAACAAACAGACAGTCAAAAAATATGTAAACTGACTTTTAGGGATAGGTATCATGCAAATAATTATTTTGGCATTACAAACAGACACTTCAATTTAATTACCTTGTATAGATACATACATGTTACAGAACAAATGATTGCCACCCACCAGTGGGATGGTTATGTCGGACTCGAACCGACCAAACACCGAACGTCGTCTCAGGTACCAGTTGCCGAGGAACCAGGTGTACCCTAGGAAATCCCTGGTACACCTTTTCACCCCCTAAAGGGTGATTTCCGGGATAAAACCCATCCTATGTCCTTTCATGGGACTAGAACTATCTCTATGTAAAATTTCATCTAAATTGATTCAGCGGTTTAAGCGTAAAGAAGTAACAGACAGACACTCCTTCGTATTTATAATATTAGTATGGATATTTACTATAGTATAGTCTTATAATAATTATTGAATAATTAATTACACCACATTGTCACCATATTAGTAGTATCGCGGGTAACAACGCGGGTCTCAGCTAGTTACTAAATAAATACATACAGTATCTACATTGCACCCGTGCAAAGCCGGGTGCAATGTAGATACTGTATGTATTGTATATATGTATGTATTATAACCGCGGGCAACGCCGCGGGGCGAAGCTAGTCTAAAAAAAGTAGCCTAAGTTACTCCTTATGTCATCAGCTATCCCGTCGAAATCGGTCCAGCCGTTCCAGAGATTACCCGGAACAAACAGACAGACAGACAGACAAAAATTGTAAAAAAAAATATTTTGGCATATGTACCGTTTAAACATACATATGCATTTAGTAAAAAGCGGTTATTTTAATATTACAAACAGACACTCCAATTTTATTTATTTGTATAGATATAAAAGTATGTTTGATGTTGGTAAATACGAGAATGTGCCCGGTTGACAGCAACATGCATGCCACCTCATAAGTGGGACTAAAATGTGGGTGTTTAAGACTACACTGTCTACCCCTTCAGGAATAAAAACGTGAGTTGAGGATTTCATGTCTTTTCAGGTTTCGTGTTTATGTTACTGGTGGATCAAATGTCAGCACGGTTCAACGACCAGAGTAACCCGATCGAGAAAAATGTGACAGCTACCGTTGGGCTGGTTGTACATGCTGCTGGTAAGTTGTTTTATATCTTTCTAAACCCCCCCACCCCCCTCCCCTTCCTCCTTCCTTTCAGCCGTCTGCACCAGTAGGGTTATGTTGTATCAGGGATTCGGTCGCACCCGGTTCCCAGGCTACTGATACCTGACCCGAAACAGCGTGCGGTTTTTCAGTCGGTTCGAATTCCGCATCGTTTTCCGCACACAAAAAAAGATGGTGAACGTTTTGCTAGTGTATGCTTTTTGACACGCTCTGTAGTCTTAACGACTTGATGAGTTTTGGTTGGAGGGTTGTCATTAGATTCTTCATAATTGTGAGAGCGACATTGGATATATCAAAATTGGAAAAAATCAAATGGGCGGTTTACGCGCCATTTTATGTAAATCCAACATTTTTTTCTCCTATTCTGTCGAGTGAGGAATCAAAATATAGTTTTACTAGCTGACCCGGCAAACGTTACAACGTCATCCCTATTTTTTTTTTTGTTTTGCAATACATTGCATTACCCTTACCATTTAGGGGTATGAAAAATAGATGTTGGCCGATTCTCAGACCTACCCGATGTGCACACAAAATTTCACGAGAATCGGTCAAGCCGTTTCGGAGGAGTACGGGAACGAACATTGTGACATGAGAATTTTATATATAAGATAAATTTCTTACAAAACTATATCTTCTTCCTAGCCTTTTTCCCAAACCAGGTTAGTGTCGACTTCAAGTCTACTGGGATACGGCTAAACTTCGATTTTTTCGACTGTCATTGGACCTCCACAACCCAAATAGTAGGCGATATCGAAATTCTGTAGAAAAACTGTTGTCAGACTGCGATTGCCACAGATATTCGCATGAATTACGGTCTCTCTCGGCACAGATATGTCTTAATATGATAAGAATAGTCACCCATCCATAGACTGACTGACTGATATGATTGCTTAACTTTGCAATGTTAACCTATCACTTAGCCACGAGCCCCAGCTTACAAAAATTTAAAAAAAAAAAAACAATATACAATTAAGCTTTAAGTAGGTTCCCACTAGATATCGGTACAACTAGCTGGTGCCTTTTTTTTTTTTTATTTCTTTTTTTTTCCGTGCGGAAATCCCCTCGGATACCACCTGTCGGTGGCATGTCGGACACGAACCGACTAAAACCGCACGCCTTCGCCGGGTACTAATAGCCGGGGAACCAGCTATACCCTAGAAAGGAAGGCCCTGGTGGACTAGCTGGTGCCTGCTACTTCGTTCGCGTGGAATTTGAACAGCGCTGCTTTAGTGAGATCGATTCCCGGACCAGGCAAAACGTTATAGGGTTTTTCTGAGAGAAAAAATAGCCTATGTTACTCTTTATATAAACAGCTACTTGGTAGTAAAATATTATCAAAATCGGTCTAGCCGTTTTGAAGATTACCCGGAATAAACAGACAGACAGACAAAAAATATTTAAACTTGTTTTTAGTCATAGATATCGTAAAAATAACCGTGTAAGCATGAAAAAACCTATCATTTTGACATTACAAACAAACACTTCAATTTTATTTATTAGTATAAATTTTCAAGTAGTCGAATATTATGTATATGTTTTATGTTTTCAATAGTTTAACGTCAAATGTGATAGTTGACATAGGAGTCGGGATCATTGCACTTGCAAAATCGCTGACTATCGAAAATAACCGTGGCTGAACTTAAAATTATATTGCACAACTGTCAGATGTCAGCAGTATCACTGACACAATAATAAAGCCCTTTTCTTCCGAATTCGCTACAGATTTGACAATACATATTTCCGAGTTCTATTTGTTATATTATGTCTCGCAATTCGATGCGCCTCTTGGCATAGGCCTCCTCCAGCTCTCTCCACTGAGCTCTATCCTCTGCTACTCTAGTCCAGTAAGGTCCCAAAGTTAGGCGGATATCGTCCACTGACACAATACCTTTGTAGAATTATTTTTACTACCTAAATTTCATCTATTACGACTAGCTGGTGACCCCGACATCGTTTGCTTAGAATCTCTTTCATAAAGACTTTTATTCCCTACTAGCTGAGACCCGCGGTGTTACCCGCGTTTGTTGTTATAACCGCAAGCAACTCCGCGGGGCGAAGCTAGTCTAAAAAAGTAGCCTAAGTTACTCCTTATGTCGTCAGCTATCTGCCAGTGAAAGTCCCGTCGAAATCAGTCCAGCCGTTCCAGAGATTACCCGGAACAGACAGACAGACAGACAGCCAAAAATTGTAAAAAATGATATTTTGGAATATGTACCGTGTAAATATACATATGCATTTAGTAAAAAGCGGTGTTACCCCTTAGTTTTATTTTGTGTGTGCATATTGTGACGCAAAATAAAACACGCCCAACTAGAGAGGGCTCTGGGATCGTAGCCGTACCAAAGATCACTGCATTTGGTTAAGTAATTTAGGCGTCAGAACTTAACATATATATAGTGTTTTTTTTTTAATTTTATACAAATACTTAAGGAATAAATCCTAGACATTAAAGATTTAAGTATTTAGGATTTGTGAGGAGTTAGGAAGTTCAGGCGAAATTTCTATATCAGTAGAATACTTTTAGGACTTCGCCTTTTCTATGTTTTGGTAGTCATAGACAAATTGTGTCTAGGGTTTAGTGACCTTGACTCCTGATTCAGAGGTTGTGGATTCGATGGACGCATTGCAAACAATTGTGTGATGTGCGACTTCATTTGTTCCATGTCACAATTATGTACACATTACACTGACCCCATATAAAATTCGAAAAAGGGCAGAAAAATGATTGAATTCTTTAGAGATCTCTCTCTCTTCTCTAGAGATGAATTCAAGTAATTTTTTTTGGTGTGATGGGCAAATGCGCAGGGTCACTACCAGCAGACACCTGCGACTTAAACGTTACAAGTGCTGCTCTTTGAGTCGCCCCGCCAGGATCAGGGCGAGGGGAGTTTGCGCTCCGGTAACTTCACTCGCTCTGTGAAAAGCCACGACAGAAGTACTTAACACCGGTTTTCTGTAAGGCCGTGGTTTTCCTCCGGTGGAGCCGGCCCATTTGTGCTGTAACATGGCTCTCCGACGGTTACGAAACGCGCTCAGTGTTGCAAGGTTATTACTATAGTACGTGTTATGTTATAAATTACAGTTATCACCGTGAAAGCCAAAGCATGTTCACGTTTGATTAAATCTACCGATAGCGTGTTGCTTAATTCTAAAACATTCGATTTGCAAATTATCACATCATCAACAGCCTTTAATAGTCCACTGCTGGACATAGGCCTTATGAAGGAGGTTTTGGCCTACTATACCACGCTGGCCAGACGGTATAGGGTTTGTGTCAAGTTTTCCTTCTTTTTACAATGCTGGTGTCCTGCGTTGTTTTGCGCCCTTAGTCGGCTCTTACGACACCCACGGGATGAATTGGGGTAGTGACATTCCGTATTCTTAGTCTAATGTTATAACACTCCTTCTTTTGCGTCGGGGGTTAAGAAAATGTGTAGAAAAACATACACAGAGAACTCCGAGTAAGAATCGAAGTATGCTAGAACAGAGTCCGAGACGCAGAAAAGCGTCTGGAAGAAAGTTATAACATCGTCCTACGACTGTTAGGAGCTGAGCAGTCTTGACTGAATGTCCTATGTCCCCGTGGTGGGGCAGAGGGCGTCCGCAGTCATTCTTGATCGCGTTCGGTCTTGAACTTCGCACTTCACCTCACTCCACGTCTTACCGATTCTCTTCATCTCATCTGCGACAGTGCGTCGCCAGGCTTGCTTTGTGCGGTCACGCTTACGTTTTTCCTATGGGTTCCAATCCAGTGCCCGTTTGGCGATATGATCGGAGTCCTCACGCAGAGTGTGGCCAATCCAGTTCCACTTGCGGCACTTGATCTGATGGCCAATCGGCGATTCGTTGTAGCGTTCTAACAGTTCTTCGTTGGTTCTTGGCTGAGCAGTAACGGTTAGTTATTAAAATGTTTTCTGTTCACAGCGGACGGTATCGCTTTGGGTGCTGCGGCTACCACGTCCCATGCTGATGTGGAATTGATTGTATTCTTAGCCATCATGTTGCATAAGGCGCCGGCCGCCTTCGGACTTGTCACTTTCCTGTTGCACGCTGGACTTGAGAGGTAACTGACAGTTCTATTTATGGTGGAGGGGATAAACGAGGAGACGAGTCACCTGATGGTATGTGAGTACCGACGCTCATGGGTACTTGTTACTTTAGAGTCACAAGTGCGTTGTTGGCATTGACTGCTCTTTCTCCCCCAGAATTAGGGGGAGGTTTTCTTTGAGGCTCAACAAAAATAATATTACTGCATGACTTAATGACTGCGACCGCAGACCATAATGCGGTTGAATGCAACCTCGTTCAGAAATGTACCACCAAGAAACAGATTTTCGAATGATGATTTGTAAAAAGTTTTTTTTTTAAATACTACACTATTTTTTTTAGTAATATTCGTAAAATATTTTGTTACAGAAATAGAATACGAAAACACCTCCTAATATTCTCTTGCGCAGCTCCCCTCCTCGCATTGCTAACATACTTCGGTATTGGCAATGAAAGTAAACAGACTCTGAGTGATGTTAACGCAACTGGTGAGTTCTTCTTTTTTCTTCTTTTTTCCTTCTTACATACACACATTCACAACTAAATACCGTGTATGAAACGCCTGTATTTTCCTGACTATAATTTCAGTCCAACTTAGGCTTAAAAGGTTAAGGATTACCCTGTATCATAATATTCCGTGTGATGACGGATTAATAATCCGGAATGTCATCACCCCTATTGATCCCGTGGGTGTTGTAAGAGCCGACTAATGGAGCAAACTACGCAGGACAACAGCACTGCAAAAAGAAGTAAAACTTGACACAAACCCTATACCAACCCGTCTGGCCAGCGTGGTATAGTAGGCCAAAACCTCCTTTCTAAGAACAGGCCTATGTCCAGCAGTGAACCATTTAAGGCTGTTGATGATGATGATGATGATGATAAGCCTATTAAGCCTTTCGCTGTCAACCATGTCTGGGTGTAATTTATCTATAATATATGTATGTATTTAGAAATCTATAAGTATGTTTATCAGCTGTCTGGTTACCATAGTTCAGGCTTTGCCTAGGTTAGGATCAGATGGTCGTGTATGAAATATGTGAAATATTAATAAAATAAAGAATGATAGAACAAAAGCCTTCTGGTATCCTCAATCTCAGCCTGGGTGCGTAAAAGAACACTGCGGGATATACGGTTATTATTATTATTGAAGGCAAGGTAGCTGAGAAGGGAAGGCCACGGTAAATATATCGAATTGTGGAGTTCTCTAACCTAAACCTTCGATTGTCACGTTACTTAGCACTGACTGACTGACTGACGCATGACTGCACGGTTAGCGTAGCGGTCACCTCGCCGCTTTCTACTGCGCTGCGTGTCGTGAGTTCGATCCTCACATAGGACAACACTTTGTGCGATCCACAAATTTTTGTTCTGAGTCTGGGTGTTCATTGTGTCCGTTTCATGAATGTTTGCGAAGTCCCCTACGGCACACGATATATTCCTAGTGCGAGAGTTGTCTTCTGAAAAAAAAACTATGTAATCAAATGTTATCAGTAACTTTAAACCTCTTTCTAATTAAACCATGGTATGCAGGAGTAAATCAAACCGTGAACTTCATAATTATTTTTTAGTTATAATACTAACACTTAAATTAATTGGTTGACGTTAGTGGTGACGGATTAAGAATACAAATTGTCACCACCCCAATTCATCCCGTGGGTGTCGTAAGAGCCGACTAAGGGAGCAAACTAAGCAGGACAACAGCATTGCAAAGAGAAGGAAAACTTGAAACAAACCCTATACCAACCCGTCTGGCCAGCGTGGTATAGTAGGCCAAAACCTCCTTTCTAAGGAGAGGCCTATGTCTAGCAGTGGACTAGTATAGGCTGTTGATGATGATGACGAGCCAAGTGTGACGTCAGTTATTATTTCCTCCAAGTGTTCTGCAGTACGTGCTGGTTTGACAATTGATAGGCACGTTATTTGACAAGTCATATAATTGAGCACCTTTGGGAACTTAAAAAACATTTTAGTCAGTCATGTTAATTATTTACTGTTATTATTATAGTACGGGGATACCCCAGTAGTTTCTGAACCAACAGGGGTCCTTTCAGGAGGCAAGTAAGGGAGGGAGAAGGCAGTCTTGGGGATACAAACTTGAAATTTTTACAGCTGGTGCTTTTTATGCTGCAAGCACACACTAAGACAGGATTTTTGGAAATTCTACCCCTAAGTGGGTAAAGTAAGGGATGAGGGTTTGTATAGAAGTTCGTCATTTTTAAAGTTAAAAACACGAAATAAGACATAATCACGGGAGCGAAGCTGCGCAAACACCTAGTTCTTCATAAATTTAATTTTCTTATAAAAATCTTTCTTTACAGGGATAGCGATGCTCTTCTCAGCTGGCACATTCCTCTACGTAGCCACAGTTCACGTGCTACCAGAATTGACCCACCCACAGTCCCATACACACACCTTACTACCCATGCAGGATGGTTTAACACCAAAAAAGGGCTTCGGAGGTCTTCTACTATCAGAAATGATTATTTTAACCATAGGAGCCCTTCTGCCTCTCCTACTTACCATGGGTCATAAACACTGATCCATAATCAGTGATATATATGTTAAGAAGCTGCTAAGAACAATTTTTTGGTACATATAATGTACAGCATGATCAAAACATCAATTTTAAACGAAATATCGGTCTGACTTAAGCTCTTTTACACTTTGTATAAGAATATAAAGCACACTGAACAATACTGTGACGTCTTTACATCGCTTATGACAAATTGTCGTTGCGCTTACTTTTAAAAGTCATTCCGCTTAAAGCGATAAGTACGCACGTTTAGTCATAAGCTATTGTGAAGGTAATTAAAATATGTATATATATATATAAATCAATTTTTTGGAGAATTATAAAAGAATAGTTAAAATTAACATGGTAAATTACAATTTTCAGAAAGCTTTAATCTAATACTATAGAGTATTCATGTCATGTCTGTACTTTGGTTATCAAATTGTGAAGCATTAGTTTGAGGGGAGATATGAATGAACCCATTGACCAACTGATGGTGTAATTATCCCTTCACTTAGCTTATTCAGACAGGTGGCCTTGTCTTTGTAACTTGTCAACTTGTTAAATTCATTTACGAATTCTGGCATAGTACCAAGTCTAGAACCTAATTGGTCAAGTTCTAAATTGAAGATTGAAGCTAGGGTTTTCCCTTTCATTCCAAGCATTCCCCGTGGACCGAATCTTTTTCCTCTAGCAGTTAAGGGTGTGATAGTTACATTCAGATTCTTATCGAAGTATACTTTTAGATCATTTGTCTGGTAAAAGGATTCAGGGGTGGGCTTCATTTGGGTAGTTAATCTTTCTTGCTTAGAACTCGATGAGCGTGTGGTAGGGGCGGCTGGACACACTGAGGCTGGTTGTGAAGAGGGGCGGGAGAGTTCGAGTGTTTTTTGATCAATATTTTCTATAAACTCGGAAATTGCCCTCATTAGAGTATTTTGCTGAGTGGCTGCTTGTTCCAAAAACTCAATGTCTTTCATTTTTTGTTTTGTCTCTCTCTTCCTCTCCACCTTCATTTCATCGATCAAGTCCCCAAGAGTCTTGATATGTGTCTGGGCAACTTGAGCATGCTTAAGACCGTAAATTGTGTTCATTCCTTCAATGCAGCTCAGGTGTGCTGAATATCCTCCTACACAAGCAGTGGCCAGAGTGTCCTTTATTAGTGTCCAATCACGACTTGAGATCCTGACAAGGTATTTGTATTTATTTACTAAGAAATCTGGAAAGGGTGCATTTATTTTTCCACACTCACGCAATGTTTGTAATAATGAGTTTGCCAAAGGATCTTCAGAATTCAAAATGATGGTATTAAGTAAGTTGAAATGAGTTAAATCATGACAAATCAAAGGAGAACAAGGGGAATAAGTCACACAGTCCGGGTCATATCCTTCCGGGTAGCAGTCTTCAACTGATTCCGGCTCAACAGTTGTGGGGTTCTTCTATGAAATCTGCTATGCAACCACCCCTGCATCGTCGGAGTCATACTGCTCCAAGGGCTTCTGCCCCGTCAGGACAGCACTTATGCCTGATAGGTCCAATGTTTCACCTGGAGTTATCATTAGGTTATAAATGTACCTATTGTAACACGAAGAAGAGTTGATTAGAGAAATTATTGCTGATTCCCTGCAACCATTTATAATACGACTTAGTATTATATAGACTTATTATTAAGGTGAACTGTAGCCGAATGGAAAATGAGTGGAGTGATTGTGTTTTGAAATTTGCGATTATACATAGTAGATATGTAAATTAGGGCTTAATCTCGCGATAATAATTACAAGGTATAATACCTCTGGTGACGAAAATCGTTTCAATTCTATCGAAACGTATGGTAACCAAAGAAGGTATTTTTTACCTTGTATATATACTTATATAATATTATTACGTCTGTATTTTTAGTTTAGTATTTGTCAATTTGTTTTTGTTTTGTAAGCGCTTTGACTGTTAGTCGTAAGCGATTTGACAACGAGCTATAAGCGTGTTGGCTGTCATTCAAAGTGATGCATATATACAAAAATAAAAGATTAGTCCGTGACTAAGAGTTTTATGTAACTATTTCAATAATAAGACTAATTAAGACTTTATTTTTAAGCAATTAAGAACAATTTTGACTACTACCTGTTTTGATCTAGAATGTAAGGCGCTAGATGGATCTAAACCACTACACAATCATATCGGGTTTATTTTCTGATTTATTTTATGTTAGTAAAAAAGTGATCATCAACAGCCTTTAACAGTCCACTGCTGGACATAGGCCTCTCCTTGGAAAAGTGATAAAAACTTGTAACATAATAATCTCTTAAAAAATGTTTTTTTTTTTTACTTTCTTATTTTTATATTGTCTGACGAAAAAAGTGTACCTAATTTTTTTTATTGCTTATCATATACCAAGATATGTTCGTGTTGTCAAAGTTCGTGTTATTTTTCTAGTTAATTTCACTTTTTTCACATAAATGGATAAACAGAGTGCAAAATATGAATGTGACTTATATTGTACATACCAACTACATATATACAGGATATTGAAGGAACATGTGGTCAATTTTGGCCTGGTTAGGAACAGCGTCGGTTCAGGGGGACTCGAAATCACGTGGTCCGGGTCCTCACCAGAATAAGGTGTCTGAGAACGGCCGGGTGGGTGGGTACTTTTCAGGGTCGTATTGTGGACCTCCTGAATGATAAAAAGCAATAAAAAAAACTTTTCTCTTAGACATTATTTAAGTATTTCCTCTATTCGTATACAGGGTGTAAGGGACGTCGGCTGTTTGTTTAATTTATTGCAGTTTATGACCGTATGCGGTATTTATTAAATTATTTTCGGTAAAATGTTCTGTTGTCAAAATTGGAAAACTAAAAAAAACCAACGATTTTCGACTCAAAATGGTCTAAATACATTATTTCAGTTTTCATTACAACGTCCCTTACACCCTGTATATATATACGTAAAGTATAAAAATAAACAAGCAATATATATAAGTATTGGAATGTCATTTTACTATAAGTATTGGTTATTTTGGTAAAATTATTAATAACGAGTAAGAATTCTTACTTTGTTACAACACGATTTTATTCTTTATAAGAAAAACAATAGAAAGGGATGACAATATAACATAAATTTAAAAAGTTGTCAACACACAAAAACAAACTAAAAACTTTATGGTCTACCGTATAAATTTATATTTATTCAACAATAAGAATGAAGTATCAAGGGAGTCAACGTAATTCTAGGTGTAGTCTACTGCCCCCCAACCGTTAACTACTTCTCTAGTCTGGAAACAGTTCTGGAATCTTTAGGGTCGGAACACTCGCATCACATCATCATGGGCGATTTCAACACTGACCTCCTAGCCCCAAACACTCCTCGTACACGCAATCTCCTTCAGATCATCCAAGCAACCAGCCTTCATATCCTGCCCCTTCAAGCCACTCACCACAATTTAGACTACCAGGATACCTGGCTAGATCTAATGCTCACCTCTGCCCCACACCTTGTCTCTTCCCATGGACAACTCCTAGCCCCTGGTTTTTCCCATCATGACCTTATCTTCCTCTCCTATATCCTGAAACCTCCTAAACCACCTCCTAAACTTCTACAGATCCGCAGTTTCCGACGCATGGATGTTGACAAATTACACGCAGATGCTGCTAAGATCGATTGGGAGGATATGGCAGTTGCCACCGACGTGGACAACAAAATTCGTATTTTTAATGACACCATTTTGAAATTGTATGACGTCCACGCTCCTATCAGGAGAGTAAAACTAAAACGTGCCCCGGCGCCTTGGATGACGAAGGAGGTTCGAACTGCTATGAGACGAAGGGACCAGTCCTTTCTTCGTTTCAAGAAAGATCGCTGCGAGGACAAATGGAACCTTTATAAGGCTGCAAGGAATCGGTGCAACCAGATGATACGCAACGCTAAACGCCGACATATTCTTCAAAACATAGAGTCTTCTTCTTCATCCAGTATCTGGAAATTTCTTGGTACTCTAGGAATTGGTAAACAACAGCATCACGTGTTTAACAATAAAATTGGTTTGAATGATATCAACCGTCATTTCTCATTCACAGCTACGTTGGATCTTCAAACCAAATGTCAAACGCTACACTACATATCTGGTCTAACCAGTTCCACTTCTGACTCGTTTGTATTTTCTCCGGTGTCTCCCGAGGATATCAAGAAGATTGTTCTTTCTATCCGTTCTAATGCTGTGGGGTGTGATGGCATTAGCCGTCGCATGATTGTCACCATCCTAGACTGCATTCTCTTAGTAATTACTCATATAATAAACTTCTCTCTTGACTCCGGTACTTTCCCCTCCTTGTGGCGTAAGGCCTATATTATTCCTCTCCCAAAAAATAATAACCCTTTACTTCCTGAACATTTTCGGCCTATTTCTATTCTTCCATTTTTATCTAAAGTACTCGAGGCCTGTGTACATAAGCAACTCTCACAATTTGTATACAGAAACCAACTTTTAAGCCCTCTACAATCGGGCTTCAGACCCGGCCACAGCACAGTTACCGCTCTCCTTAAAGTGACTGGCGATATTAGGAAGGGCATGGAAGACACCAAAGTCACAGTATTAGTCCTAGTTGACTTCTCTAATGCCTTTAATACCGTCAATCACGAAATCCTGTTATCTATCCTATCCCATCTTATGGTTCCTTCTGAGACACTGGAATGGTTCTCCACCTATCTTCAGGGGCGACAGCAATGTGTTCGTGTTGATGACTTATCATCAAGTTGGTGCGACCTCCACGCTGGCGTCCCACAAGGCGGAATTTTATCTCCTCTCTTATTCTCTATATTTATTAACCTCGTAACTCAAAATCTTCAGTGTGCGTATCACCTGTATGCTGATGATCTGCAGCTGTACTCACAGGCAAGGGTAGAGGACGTAACGCGGGCTATTGACGAGGTCAATCGGGACCTGGAGGTCATAGAATCCTTTTCGATGAGATTTGGACTGTCAGTTAATCCGACCAAATGTCAGGCAATCGTAACAGGCAGCAAACGGATTATGAGCAGATTGGATACTGCCTCTATCCCACCGGTCGTCTACAATGGTTTAATTATTCCATTCAGCCCGGTAGTCAAAGACCTGGGCTTACTTATCGATTCATCCCTCGATTGGCGAGCTCAAATTACTAGCGTGAGCCAGAAAGTAACTGGCAATTTGCGAACTTTGTATCGTCTCAAGAATTTCCTACCTCCTAAAACTAAAATTACGCTCATGCAGTCCTTAATAATGCCAATAATTGACTATGGTGATGTGTGTTATTTCGACCTGAATGCAGACCTTCTAAATAAGCTTGACCGTCTTCTCAATAACTGCATTCGATACATCTTCAATCTTCGGAAGTATGACCATGTGTCTGCTTTGCGTTCCCAATTAAACTGGTTACCTATTCGCCTCCGCCGCAAACAGCGTGCACTTACCTCTCTATTTGCATTTCTCAATTCACCGTCCTCACCTACTTACCTTGCTCCCTACTTATGTTACCTGTCTAGCAATCATGACAGAAATCTTCGCTCAGATAACAATCTGCTTCTCTTATGTCCCTCTCACAACTCCGACTTCGTGAACTCTTCGTTCTTTGTTCAAGCAGTACTACTCTGGAATGCGCTCCCGCTCGAAATCAGGATGTCCACAAACCGCTTTATATTCAAAAAGAAGGTACATGCTCTCCTTCTTAAAGAAATGGCAGAACGGTCTAATCCATAGTTAAGTATACCTCAAATTCAGGTTTTCATAGTGTACGAATATGATATGTCTATGTATCTATATAAATATACTTGTATATATATGTATGTGTATCTATGCGTATTTATGATGTGTAAGTGTAGTATGTGTGTATATGTTTATATATGTAGTGAACCGTATATATTTTCATTGTACATTTGATATTACGATGTAACCTCTGTGCACCTACCTGACAAGATTTCTACATCACCCAAAGGTTGACTGGAAGAGAATGCCCTGGGCATTAAGTCCGCCGATGTACAAAAGTGCATAAAGATGAATAAATAAATAAATAAATAAAATAAATAAAAGTATTATGTATATATTGAGAAAAGCGTAAGTCTAGAAGATGAGACAGTTAACGTACGCCTCACCGAGGGCTTGAGGTTCGATTCCAACTAGTTATCCCGATACTAGGTGAACTTTGCGTATGTTGTTTAAAAATTTAAAAGTCCCCGGAACGTATCATTCCTATTTTAGGTGTCATCTTTTAAAAAGTAGAATAAATGATAAAAAAAATTAATATGTCAAATTTGCATTTAGTCAAGTGTAGGTCAACATTTACAACAATAAATAAAAAAACCGTTACAACCGTTGACTATGTTTAATTCCCTATTTATATAATCTATGTTCATATAAACGGGGACTTAAATCATAATTAATCGCAATAATACTTATCCTTCATAACCGTGTCTGTTCACGAATCAATTTAATTGTGAAAGCCCATCCTTAACCAGGATTAGTGCAATTAAAAAAGAAAAACAATAATATCGTAGCACCGTTAATATTGATATCGTATACCGGCATCAATTTTAAAATAATAAGGCTGTGTGATTTGTGTTAGATTTCTTAAATGCCCTGTATTTATAGAACAAAATCACTGCCTTAAAAAAGAAAAAAAAACGACCGTGACACATCGCGGTTTTCGCGCCAAAAAACATAATGACATTCAGTTGTAATTGTTTTTTTAGTAGATGGCTAGGCTTTTGAGTTTTATGTTATATTTAGGAAAATATATTTTTATTATTATAAATATTATAGTAAATATAACAACACCGAAAATGTTAAGGCCTAAAACTTCATTCAAAAAATATTTCGTTCTTCAAATAACGAAAAATACCTAAACACAATTACCGTTTTTCATTGTTTCAAATTAATCTACTATTGCTGTAAATAACTTCAATGAATTATTTTATTTGTTATTATTTTGTGAATCAAAAATACTATAATAACTGTTAATACCGTAATGTGCGGACGGTAGCTGACTGGGTCTCAGATGTACCCTAGAAAACAAATACCCGTACACCAAAATACTTAGCAACCCATTGGGCAAGGCCACCTCACTTTCATCTGGGAGGAGTTCTATCTCCTCCATTTCGGAGAGCCTAGTATTAATTTCACATCAACTTGCTCTGATTGGTGAAGAGTTCAGTGCGGAACCCACACTACACCCTCTAAAGGAGTTATAACCGAAAGCTTTCATTTTACACCGGCCAGAGCTACGACGTGTTAATACGCGGTTTAAGGTTGATCCACATAATATGTAGTACTGTGTGACGTAATTGGGTCCTTAGTAAGTTGGTATGGGGTTGTAAATATATCTATTATATATGTCGTCTTTGTCATGGAAACTGTTCACCACTAAAATATGATTTCGACATAATGCGTATTAGATGTAGAAACCTGTAAGTGCCAATACGGCTTTTTTATATGTAAAATGTTATGTACAATTTCATTGTTGTCTGTAAATACATAAATGTATATCTAGGTGGTTGTTTATTATGTAAATAAAATAAAAGGCTTGTATTATAATTATTATCTTTTATTCGATTTTTTTTTCATACTCTTTTGCCCCGAAAACGATAAGAATAGAGTATTTTATTCTATACGATAAGGAATCTTAAAATATATTAGGAAAATGCTAGTTTAAAAAAAAGCTTTTTAAAATTCAATTCAAAGTTTTATGGTGCTTTATCTGGCTTTAACACCATAAAAGAGCAGCTGCCATGATATTACGTCATACGTCTGTGTAAATAAAAATACGTCAGTTGAATCTACAATTTGTCTGAAATTTTCACAAAATACAAGAACAGCACCAACGTTAAGTAGAACAATAATCATTTTTTTAATTATAAACGATATACAAAATAGCATTTCATTTGTTTATACAGGCCACTGACGTCATGACCACAGAGCAATGTGGCGTCTAGCTTAATCGGCAAATTACGCGCCAAATTTGAAAATTTAAATGCATTTTTACGGCACTTATCGACTGAATAAGATTTTGTTAATTAACACTAGAATCTAATTGAGACACTTCAAAATCCATCGTTGCTGCTGTTTCGTTATCCGGATCTATAGGTCTAAAGATCTTTTTTGTATACTAATATCAAGAGTCACAAGTCCATTACCACCCTTTGAGTCCCTTCACCTAGAATCAAAGCAGGGGTGGACGGGGCCCCAACCTCGCTCAATCGGTGAACAGTAAGGAAGAATTGCTTAACACCTCTTTTTTTGTGAAGCCGTGGTACAATTGCGGTCGAGCCTACCCATTTGTTCGGCAGAATGACTCTCGGCCCTCAAGAATAAAAAAAAGTGTGTGTCAGCTCCGACTCACGACTGGAATTTACTCGTTATGAACGATTCGGCTGCACACAAGTACCTATACAAGTTATACACACACATGTGAAAGGTGCGCACTATAGGTTGTGCACAAAAACCGTAACGTGGTCATTCGTTCACTAAATTTTACTCTTATATTTTTTTTTTAACCCGGGTGCCTTAAATGACAGTCGATTCTTAAATAGTAAACTCCAAAAACAACACACTAAAATAACAGGGATGAAATTGCCCGGTAACTGGTGAAAGGTCATAAGAGTCATATAAATAGTATTCCATAAATCAGTCTGCCGTCACCACACGGGCTTATAACTAAAGCTATGCAGATTCGTAAGAGACTCCTGCAAGAAGAACTGAGGGATTATGAAGATTCCACAAACCCCGGTAAGGTCGATGGAACCTCCATTTATACGGAGTTATTAAAAAAGGCCAAAGTATTTGTTAAAAAAATATTTATTTAATTTACAACGCATTCATTTGAGCAATATTGAAATGTTAGTACTTAAAAGAAGGCTGTACCCAAATATCACAATTTTCGAACTGCACCTGCCAGTTCATTGGACGGATGCTATAATACTCAAAGAGCTTAGAAATATAGAGGAAGCGAACAAGGCGCTATTGCATACAGCTGGTAGAGAGAGAAAGAAGATTGTATTGGTCTTGCATCTCTCTCTGCTCTTCTCACTGATTGGCTATTTTTAATTACCTCTTAAGTATCAGCCAATCAGTACATAGAGGAGAGAGAGAGATGCAAGGCCAAAACAGTATTCTTTCTCTGTGTAACCACTTACAGAGGAATACACAGTTTGCTCCCTGTGTTATGTTATCTCTATGATAATACTTCAATAATTTCAGTTTTTTTTTATTTTAAATCGCAAAATTAACAATTATATGTCATCAATATTATTAAGTTTTGGCACATAATTCATCATAATTATAATCTCATGAATTAATACATTAAAAAAAATTGTACTACACTGTGTACATTTCAATCTTTAGAATTTGCAAAATGAAAAAATTAAGGTATTATGGTTTGTTTGAACTGAAGGCTTTTTGCTACTACACAAGCGATAAATTATGAACATCCACAATCGTACGTATCCAAAATTCACCGTGTCGGTCCATGTCTTGCTTGAAATGTCAACTCGGAGTTTTTTAAAACGCAGAGCTCCCTGAGGCAGCCATTTATAATATATCTACTCTTACCTTAAAACCTACAAAACTAAGGCCTATCTTCTAAATTTATTTGGAAGTTCCTAAAAAGGATTTTTTAACGAAAGTAATAAATGCCTATTGACGTAAACTATTAGAGATTTAATACGTAATTAAAGGCTTTAATAAGAAGTAAGCTAATAAGAAAACTAACATAAGCACGATGGCCTTCAGTGTTTGATGTAGGTAGTAGAGTCTGAAATAGAAAACATATTATTGTAATAGAAAATGAAATTTAAAAAAAGTCGCTCGTCGTCTCTTTGTATATGCTTAAGTTCTAACATCACTTTTAAGAGGGAAAATACTTTAATTCATTATATCATCCAGTGTCGGCGGAATGCGTAACATGGCAAAGGATTTGGCTAGCTTCTTTTATGGTCGTCCACCTGCCTGTCTCTTGGAATATAATTGATTTCAGACGGAACACAGGAAGAAGCTAAATTAGGATAAGAAAATCGGATATAGCGATACATACCGCAAGTATCGGATTTGGAAAAAGACTCATCAGATGTGTGTATTCATCATCATCATCAACAGCTTTTGACAGTCCACTGCTGGACACGGGCCTCTCCTTAGAAAGGAGGTTTTGGCCTACTATACCACGCTGGCCAGACGGGTTCGTATAGGGTTTGTGTCATGGAGGTGGTGACACTCCGTATTCTTAATCCGTCACCACACGGACAAATAAGCTTATGTGTATCAAAAATTATTATTTTTTCCTTCAAATCATTGTTTAATTTGACCATTTCATAACTTTTCTAGCTAGCAAAGAGATATAGACTATATATCGTCCAAAAATTACTTCTGTTGTGTTATAATTTGTTTGCATATCATAGGTATTCGGCAGTATTAGGTCCGCCATCGTCATCATCGGTTTGGCAAGCTACTTTTATGACAAGCCTGACGCAAGAAAGAAACGCATTGCACCGACTCCAAATAAATTTGGCAAAAGGGTAGGCAGGTTAAGATGATGGAATTTTGTAGAGATTGAGTTTCGGTAGTAATATATTATGCAGACTTATCGAATGCTATTTTAAAGAGTCAAAAACCAAAGATTACTGTACTTGTTCCACTTTTTTCTTGCTTCTGGCAATGTTGACAGGTCGTCTTTGATCAAATACACTCGTATACCTGGCGGAAGGAAATTATATAAATTATAAGGTAATAATTGAAGTTGTGTTTTATAGTTGAAACTAGCGATCCAACGAATAGGGGCAATGTAGATACTACTAATGTAGTGTCAGTATGGAGTAATTAATCATAATATGATTATGATAAGCCTATAACTACACGACATCTTCATATGCCGCTTCTTATAGGCCGCTGCAGCCCAGGACGAACGTATAGCCCGACGCTTTGGCCGGCATTTTAAATCTCTGATATCTACTGAGATATATATTTTACTGATATGCTGTAAAAGGCAATTTTTATCTAAATTAAATACACAACATAACGATAAGTAATTTAGATAGGCCATAATAGTGTATTGTTCAAAATTAATCGGAGTCCAGCCTTACCCCGCCCCTCGCACTCGAAGGGTGGTAAAGCAGTGACTCTTGGGTTACAGGTGTCCATGGGTATCAGTCTGCTGGTTTACTCCCTATCATCATCATATCTAGATGTAGAAAGTCTACTTACCAATCAAGAAGGTTTCACACATGTACTCCCACGAGAATTGCCCCATACTAAATGGAAACACAACTTTATCGTCTTCTGATAAAGAGTTCCACATGTCTCTAACGTTCGTATCCGAGAAGCGCCAATCTTGGGTGGAGAAGTAGAATAGAATGTGGGCTAACTTCATCACCTTGCTGTACAGTTTAAGCATACTGGAAATAAATATAACTGGTAACTATTTTTTCTTTATTTCAAGTATTAAGAAAATCATAAATTTTAAAATGAAGTGCGGGTGAAGACCAGTGTCGTAACTAGAGGGGTGCCAGTGGCCCCAGGCACAGGGGGTTGGAGGTGGGGGGGAATGGAATTGATGTAGAAGTGTCTTGTTATTTTGGCTACGCTAAGTACAGAAAGTTAACAGTAACTTACAGAAACAGAGTCCATTTGCATTAAGAAAATAGTGATCCATCGATAAAGCTCCGCACCCTGACCAATCAGGGTTCCAAGAAATTATGGCTTCATATGAAAACTTGGAAGCTGATTGGTGCGGGACTTGGTCGATGCGTCACTATTTTCTTAACTCGAATGGATTCTGTTTGTGTAAGTTTCTGTACTTAGGGTACAGTTACGACACTGGTGAAGCCGTATGCTAAAACTAGTCTTTAATAGACAAGATTTTAAAACAATGACTAAAAAATTACTTACGCTTTTCTCCTTCCAGTGAGGGTACAGTAACAGTCGATTAACAGAGCAGGCAGGTAGTGAAGAAAGAAGTTGTAGAATAAAAACATGTAGTATTTATTCGTGGGGTTAAGTCCGTAGTACCTGTATAGTACATTCAAAATAAATTAGAGATTTAAGATAAGTAAACTTAAGTACAGAAGTTACACTGATTAAAACTTTGTTAAATAAATAGCGACTCTTGTTTCGAGACAATAAAGTGCAATTTAAGTCACAGGGCTAATCACCTACAGATATTCACCTAAAAGTTGTCTATTTCTTTTTATCGCAAACTTTTATCGTCATATTTTGCTGATGTTAAGGTTCCATTTCTTAATGTTTTGTTGCCCTATGAGAGTGTTAAACGTTAGTTTCGATTCCTATTCACTAAATAAGTAGCCGAATATAATACACACACTATGCCGTTTAGAGTCATTGTACAGCGCCATCTTGCAAAGGCCAGCTGAAATACTTAGTTACAATTGATTCTAAATCACCTATGTGTTAATCCAGGGTGTCAGCTACCTTCTTACCGAATTTCACAAAAATTGATCCAGCTGTTTAAGCGTCGTGGTCCGTGTGGTGACGGATTAAGAATACAGAGTGTCACCACCCCTATTCATCCCGTGGGTGTCGAAAGAGCAGCCTAAGGGAGAAAGCTACACAGAACAACAGCACTGCAGAGAGAAGGAAAACTCGACACAAACCCTATACCAACCCGTCTGGCCAGCGTGGTATAGTAGGCCAAAACCTCCTTTCTAAGGAGAGGCCTATGTCCAGCAGTGGACTATTAAAAGCTGTTGATGTGTGTAATGTAATGTTTAAGCGTAAAGAAGAAACTAATACACACGCTCACATACTTTCGCCTTTGTAACATTAGTATGATTGACAATGGTGTTATCTACCTACATTATGAGTATACATACCATACAGCCTTAGTAGTAGGCTTGTTGATGCCATATTTCCTGTTCGTCTCGATAAACTCTCCCCAAGTCAGTGGGTTCTGCGCTCCAGATACAAAGTTATAGATTGGGATGTGTGAAGTTTGACTGTAAAGGAAAAAATAAAAAAAAAAATAGATAGGAGGAAGTCAATACCGATCGGACAAAGGACAGGACAGAATACTGCTGGCTTTTCAGCTAAATGGGGGTGATGCGGCCCCCGCTTTCTTCCACCACACATCTACCACAGAGAGGCAGGCAGAGGACCTCGTGGCAGTTCATTCTCTCCGGCTTAAGTGTCCTACTAATGGCTGGATTACGCTTCGAAGCCTTCAGAAGCCCTGCTCTGAGCCTTTATACGAGTATGTATCTTACACTTTTGTCTTAATGATTAAATCATGAAAATTGGGACTCAAGTAAGAAGTAAGTAAGAAAATTGAGAGTCAAGTGGCTTCCCCGGTCGATGTAGAACGTCGCAATCAACTTCTACGTGAATTGGGTAATACTACTATCATCTAAAAGATCGCGATTATTCAGAATACTTTAGATAGGAGGAAGTCAATACCGATCGGACAAAGGACAAGACAAAATACTGCTGGCTTTTCAGCTAAATGGGTGTGTTGCGGCCCCCGCTTCCTTCCACCACACATCTACCACTCCCAGGGCGCCGCGACTATAAAAAGGGCAGAAGACCTCGTGGCAGTTCATTCTCTCCGGCTTAAGTGTCCTACTAACGGCTGGATCACGCTTCGAAGCCTTCAGAAGCCCTGCTCTGAGCCTATCTTTATATGTATCTTACACTTTTCTCTTAATTATTAAATCATGAAAATTGGGACTCAAGTAAGAAGTAAGTAAGAAAATTGAGAGTCAAGTGGCTTCCCCGGTCGATGTAGAACGTGGCAATCAACTTCTACGTGAATTGGGTAGTACTACTATCATCTAAAAGATCGCGATTATTCAGAATATGTTAAACAGTTCAATCTTCTTTTCTGTTGCTTATTTTTTAGGGGTAGATAATTAAGGGATGGGATTGGTAAAGCGCAAGGGACACAATTATCATTGACAGCGTATCTTCTGTTTTTTAATATCATTAGGATCACGTCGTCACACATTAATAGTACCTGTTAACCCCAAAGCTGAGCTAATAGCTTCTGTAAGGTGTAGATTTACGTCAGTAGTGCATTGGGTGAGGTTTAACATGTAACCAGTAGATCAAAAATCTGGCCTCTTAGCTAATATGTTGACAGCAACATCAGGTTTTTAGTTTATGCTTTAATACATTAAACCTGAAGAGTTAGTTGTTTTGGTAAAACGTTGTTTTGGTCTTAAAACTACGCGTCAGATCTGAAGCAATCTTTTCGCCCAAAAATTGAAGAAGGTTATAGGCTATTTAAGATCACGATATAACCCTCAGAAGCTAAGCAACGACCATAAAATGAAAGATGGAAGTATGGACAAACATCGCCCATGCGCTCTACTGAAGTATGAATGGTAGTCGTTTTAACGCACTTCTCTTTATAGTTCTTGGCAGTGAACCACGCTGATGCCAAGATCGCATTGACGCAGAGGTCTACCGGAATCAAATCTGCCACTTTCTCTTCGTCCATATACATGGTGCGCAGTACCTAGAAAGACGCATAGTTAGAAACTCGTATGATACTCCCTAAATAGAATGAGTTTTAGTTCAGTTAAATATGGTTAATATAAATTAGATTGTTGTTATTTTTAATTGTTGAAAAGTAAAATTTTGTGGTTTGAATAAAAACAATTGGTAGGTAAGATTGACAATCAGACTTTTGTCATTGTAGAGCCATATTTCGAATAATATGGACCGGCTCGACCCAAGGCAGCGGAGTTAAACAATTCATTTCGTTGCTTTTCACCGAGTGAATAAGGATACCGGAGACTCAACCCAACCCTAATTCTGAGCACCCAGAAAATGGCAACGCACTTACAATTAAAAAGTCAGGAAACCAAGTTTGCTATAAAGTCATTATGTTTTTTTCTATTGCAGTTATAAATCAGCCCGTCGTTGGGAAGCATGTCTAATATTTAATAAACATTATTCATTACAAATTACAAAACTAAAGTAAAATCGTTACAATAATTCACTTTTTGTTGTCCTTTTCCCACGGTTGACTTCTACAGGGGCTGTATAGAAGAGGCATGATGGAGTTGAACCTACTAAATCAATGAAATCTTCTTTTGCGAGTGTGCTTATTGCTTGGAATCTGGGTAGCGTCCACCTCTTGCAAATTCCTAAACATACCGGATCTATTGCAGTTCTATAATTGGATAAGAAATGGATGAATAGTGCTATATTATATTGGCATTACCCCTGTTCCGATCCCCACGACAAGTCCCGCGGGACCATATACACTGTCCGTCCAGCCTCGAACTGGTTCTTCATAAGTGGACACAACTGAAACAAAATGATCATAGTATTGTAGTCAATGTTTAACTTCCGAACAAAATAAAATAAATAAATAATGTTTTGCATTCGTTTATTCATAAGATATTACTTTATTTAAATTCGAAAGTTTGGGATGAACTTTAATTACTCAAAACGCCCGAAAAGGCTGAATAAAATTCGATACAGAGAGATTATACAGTCTTCTGAAATAGTACAATGCTTATAGATATATGTTTTTAAAACTCCAAAGACAAAAAAGAAAGGCAAAAGTTGGTAAATCATATATTTTACCCGACTGCACGGCGAATAGTAAGGTATAACACGCTTTGATATCAAACTGAACCAAAAAATAGAAAATATATTGTCTCGCTTTACTTGTCTAACTCAACTAAACAGTACTAAAGTTGAAAATGTACAATTATTTAAAAAAATAACGCGATCACCCAATAAAAATCACATGCTTTTGAATTCTCTGACGTTTCGACCAGGTACACGGTGATAGTAATAATTTATTAATGAAAAAGATTTACAGTTTACAAAGTACGAGTAAGAACGACAGTGATCACAGGCTCCCTCTATCTCTTAATGAAACAGTGCGGCAGTAACGTAGCTACGTTTGCAGTACAAGTTATCTATCGGAAGACTTACTTATCGAGGGTCTGACGATGCTTATAGGCAGACCTTCACCATACTTTCTGACAGCCTCCTCGGCCACAGCTTTCGTGAAGCAATATGTGTTGGGACGCTTTCCAAGAAGACTGCAAAAAAACGAAATTTTCATTTACATCTTTAACTGCTGTAAATTCTTATATGAGTCAAGTCATAGTGGAATTAAACGCCCAAATTTTGACGGGCACTTTAGAACTGTGTTGCAGGAAATTGGAGTTAAGTTTATTGGCTGTCCCTGTCCCTTGGGTGTCCTAAGGGAGCAAACTGCGCAGAACAACAACACTGCAAGGAGAATAAAAACTTGAAACAAACCCTATACCAATCAGTCTGGCCAGCGTGGTATAGTAGGCAAAACCTCCGTTCTAAGGAGAGGCCTATGTCCAGCACTGGACTATTAAAGGCTGTTGATGATGATGATGACTAGCAAAAATAATTAAGAAGGAGAAAATATGGCAACACCTTATAAATACTTACGTGGGTAAAATACTTTCGATTAATTGATTATCGATTTCTGAGACGGCTTCTAATGCTTCCACTGACAGCGGGGGCTCGTAGAATCTGGAGATAGACATAAATAACAGATTAAATCCACAGCTAGGAGCACTTAAGAATTTTCCAAATCAATTCCGAAATTGTGGAGTTCTTAAAAAAATAGCCTAATGAGAAACCCTTTCTTTCTTAAGTCGTTGAAATATAGCTGTGCGGTCGGGCCCTTAGCCATATCGTGCAAAAGATCTGACGTCATGATGTGTCATCATGAAGTGGTGAATTTGAAAATCAGCCCACCACAATATAAACGTTAATTTTAATCATATGTCTACTTACTTAACTCATACTTACTTTTCCTCGATATGACTAACTTGCGTGTTAGAGAATGCTGTTGAAATATGTGTAATAGCTTTCAGATTTCTGCACTCTTTGGCCAGTTTCAGCACTTCTTTGGTACCTTTAACGTTAATAGCAGTGGAGACAGACAGTTTTTCATCAAATTTTACCGTTGCTGCCGCATTGATAATGATAGTTGCCTGTAACGACATCTATTAGTGAAAAACTGAAGCTTTATATATTTATTTTATTTATTTATACTAAAGTATGTGTGAACTTTAAATGTCGTTTTTTGTATTTTCAGAGAAACAATTTATGGTTTATTTTGAAGATCCTCAATAATATACCTTATAAAACGACATTTATAGTTCACTAATATCGCTTCCTCAATCGTATCCTTCGGTTTATCTCTCTACAAGTTTTTATAACAATCATAGTTCACATGCCACTTCTTCTGGTATTTAAAAGTTTGCCGAGTTTTTGCCATCCTGATCTCGCGAGGCAGCGCGTTCCATAACAGGACGGATTGTACCAGAAAGGAAGAATGTACGAAGTTAGAGCGGTGAGTAGGACAGTGAAGAAGTAGCTTAGCTTGAAGATTTAAGGTTTTTATCATGGTTTGCCCCTAAATATTGAAGTTGAGTAGTTAAGTAGGAAGGAGAACTAGGAGAAAAAAGTAAAGAATATAGGGTAGTTAATGCCCGTGTCTCTCTGCGTTGGCGAATTGGAAGCCACCCCAAATGGGAGCGATGATGAGACACGTGATCATATTTGCGTAAATTGAAAACGAATCGAATGCAATTGTTGAGAAGACGGTCAAGCTTATTGAGCAGACCTGCATTCAGGTCAAAGTAGCACACATCACCATAGTCGATTATAGGGATTATAAGGGTCTGGGCAAGCATTACTTTAGTTTTTATTGGCAGAAAGTTCTTAAGCCTATAGAGGGCCCGCAACGAGCCTGTGACTTTCTGGCACACAGATGCAACTTCTTTTCGCCAGCTAAGAGTCGTGTCAATATACAAGCCGAGGTCCTTCACACTTTCACAGAATGGAATAACCATGCCATCGTAGATAAGTGGCGGTAGTGAAGCAAGGTCGAGCTGACTCATACGACGGTTACTTCCGATGATAATACCTTGGCTTTTATTCGGGTTCACCGATACGCCAAACATATCTGACCAGTGTTTAATGGCCGCCAGGTCACTATTTAGGATCGAGACCGCGGACGATACATCGCACAACTCAGTTTGATAGTATAACTGCAAGTCATCAGCATAGAGATGATAGGAACACTGCAGTCTTTAACTTGTTTTTTTTTTAAACCATTTTAAGGATGCTTAGGCAGTAATCACACTGTACTGCCGAGCATCGTCGCGTTGTACGAGGCTGCAGATTTTGACATTGTAAACAAGTATCAACAAAACAACGCAGGTCACCAGCACTGCAAAAAGAAGGAAAACTTGACACAAACCCTATACCAACCCGTCTGGCCAGCGTGGTGTAGTAGGCCAAAACCTCCTTTCTAAGGAGAGGCCTATGTCCAGCAGTGGACTATTAAAGGCTGATAATGATGAAACAAGTATCTCAATTTGTCTAGAAAACACGCCTAGGATATCCAAAGGCGCATGTATACTTGAATCTGCGGCTCCGCGCAATGCGACGGAGCGAAGTGCAGTGTAATAATCGCCGCATACGTTCAGTTGTAAATGCCACTTTATTATAGATGTAAGTAGAAAGATCCAGTTATTTATTATGCTCAGTAAGTAAAAAAACTCTCTGATATTCTATAGAATAATCTAAGTACAACTACAACTATTTTGAAAATTCTATTAATCTATTAAAAAAAAATATATTATGAAAATTAAGTTTCTATAAATCAAAATTCAGCTTCTGAAACAAAGAAGCACTATTTTTATTTAATTACATTGTATTAAAAAATAAACTTAGTATACTATTAGATCGATAGATGTCGCTACTTGTTACTATACGTTGATGAACAATAAAACGTATATTTATAAGTATTTCTTAACTTTAAACTTTTAATGACCTTACCTTGCTAGCCAAAAGTTTTCTATCCTCATCGTTCATGCCTAACCCTGGCAACGCCATGTCACCAACAATTGGTACAACTTTATGGATACCTTTAGGGTTTTCTTCGTGCGCTCTGTGAAACAGCTACGAAAAAAATCATACAGATTATAAAGGCGGTAGAAATCATTGATAACATGTCCAAGATCCTGCAAATAATAAATTATTCGTATGGAGGATCTTATAGCGCGTTAATAAAATTGTGGGCAGAAGCAAGAATAACAGTAAGGGATAGGCTTATATGGATGCGGTGCGGCTCCGGCGCGGCGCCTGAGCGGTACCGCTGCGGCGTAAAACATGCAAAATTTCCATGGTATACCACACGGTACGGTGCGGTGCCGCGCCCTCCGTGGCCACGCCGCACGCACACCGGTCCAACAAGGAAATAAAATCCCACTTTGCGGAAATACGTTCTTGACCATCAATTCAAATCAATTATGTTATGAACTAACAAGCAATTTCGTCATATATTGTTATTATCAAATTTTTCCTTAATATCTAGGTTGTTCAATAAGTAATAAAAATTTAAACCTTTAAAAAGTTATACCAATTTTAAAGCACACAAATGCCCTGACAGGAAATAAAACGAATATGCGCCATTCAACATCGTTTTTTTTAAATGTAGCTATAGGTAGTATCTCGGGATGATGTAAGGATTCTAATGATACCTCACACATCCAAATTTGTACAGGCATTTAAAAGTTATGTTATGATAAAGAAAAAAAAGAAACTTGGATACAATTCTTCCAATTTACTTTCTTCCTCCGTCCTGTCCGAAGACGTGAGAATTCCTAAAGAGGATTAACGACAGGTATGAGAAAGGAGAAAGAACAATGAAAGACAACTTAGAAAAACTAGATTAAAATCAATCCAGCCGTTTAGGACCTACTATGCCAAAGAACTGTCTTTGGCATAGTAGCATATATAGCATAGTAGTATATACACACTTTAAATTTATAAGACCATTATTTGTGCCGGGAATTAGAAGCAGTTACTTTTACCTTCAAAAAAAATTTGCCAGCATTCCTTCAAACCTCTCCTCCCCTTGATTCTGGAGGGAGAAATCAATGGCGGCTACCTATTTGTGACTTGAATTGCGGTCTTTAGCCGATGGCAGTTATTTACCGTCAAGTTAGTTCTTTCGCCTTCCTTTACCATGAAAAACTAAACATATAGTATGCTGGTCTGCAACCTTAGAGATATAACCACTGGATATACTTACAAAATCATCCAAGAGCTCATGCAGACGAGCCGTAGGATCTTTATTCTTCTTGCTTCTTACCAAAACATAAATTGTGTCTATATCTCCACAAGACCGTAGCAGCTTCTCGATTAGAACTGCAAGTTAAAATAAGTATTATAGTAAGTGATTTAGTATCAGAATTGCTTGCTTGCACAGTGTACTTATGATGATATAATGTCAAAGGTAACATATAAGTATACTAACTTAAATTTGAATTGTGACTGCTAAAACGGAGGTCGTTAGTTCAATTCCCACCCAGGACAAATAATTGTGTCATAAGCACGATCGCTTATTGTGTCTGGGTGTAATTTATCTATTATATGTATGTACTTAGAAATATTGAAGTGTGTTTATCAGCAATCTGGTTACAATAGTACAGGCCCTGCCTAGTTTGGGACCAGACGGCCATCTGTGAGATGTGTAAGGTTATTATTATAGGTATGTCTATGCATAAAAATATTGCCTTAGTAGTCGATAGTTATTATTGTTATTTTTTTAAAAGACCACGCCCGCATTGACATATATGACACACTAGCTGACCCGCGCAACTTCGTCTGCGGCTCTCAATAGTAATAAATTTTCTCCGTTTTTGAAACATTCTTCATTGGTGCTCCGCTCCTATTGGTCTTAGCGTGATGATATATAGCCTATAGCCTTCCTCGATAAATGGGCTATCTAACACTTAAAGAATTTTTCAAATCGGACCAGTAGTTCCTGAGATTAGCGCGTTCAAACAAACAAACAAACAAACAAACAAACAAACTCTTCAGCTTTATAATATTAGTATAGATTAGAAACAGCATGTTTTTTGGCACAGGGTTGCCATATTTAACTTATTTCTGTCTATTCTCTTTTAAATTGTTTGTAGTGTATCTTAGAAATAAAATATGTTTTCTTTCTTCTTCTTTGTTTCATTAGGAATATACCCTGTGTCGCGGGGGACTTCACAAACATACATGAAACGGACACAACGAACACCCAGACTCAAAACAACGATTTGTGGTTCACACAAAGTGTTTTTGTGGGTATCGAACAAACAACACTCAGCGAAGTACAAAGCGGCGTGGCGACCGCTTAAATTACTACGACATCCGTGTAGTCTAAATTCGCAGATTCGATTCGAAACGACCCTTTTTAATATTAATATATTTTTTTAAGTGGTCAATTCGCACAAACTGAATTAATTAGTGCGCGAATAGACACCTCTAGAAAAATGTAGTTTCGATTCGCAGCGCACCGAATTCGCGACCTTCAACGATTTAGTTGAACTCCCCTCGCGCTACAGAGATCTAATTAAATATAAAACTTGTATTACATAGAATTACATAACAATACATTTCGGATATGACAGGGCCCTTGTCGAGGTCTCTATTCCACATCATCAGCTAACTAGGTAACCTTCTGCATAAAACCTCTTCATTTCTTTTCATATTTCTTCCTTATTAATCATTCACTATTTATTGAACTATTTAAGGATGTTGATGATGATGATGATGATAATGATTAATGATTAATCATTTATTTTTATTTATTACCAACTGGTGCCCGCGCCTTCGTTTGCGTGGAATATGAAAAGCGCTCCCTTAGCGACAAAATATTTATAGGGTTTTTCTAAGAGGAAAAATAGACTAAGTTACTTCTTACATAGACAGCTATCTGGTAGTAAAATATAATCAAAATCGGTCCAGCCGTTTAGAAGGTTAGAAACTTTTTAGACACAGACACAGACAGATTTTAGGCATAGGTATCTTAATCATTTATCAACAGCCCTTTACCGCCATCTGCTTAACGAAGGCTTAGGGCATTTAAATTCTTTTTGAGTAGACACTTGGACCTGACCTTTAATAAATCATATGATTTGTAAATCATATTATCAACCCTGTGACTACTTTACAAACATATGCGACTTATTATTATTGTTACGCTAGCGCTATACTCGCGAAAGGTATTAAAATCTAAATACCGACATCTAAGAGCTTTATGTAAAAGTTTGATATTCGTCAACAGCCTTTAATAGTCCACTGCTGGACATGTGCCTCTCCTTGGTTTGCCAGAGGTTTTGCCTACTATACCACGCTGGCCAAACGGGTTGGTATAGGGTTTGTTTCAAGTTTTACTTCTCTTTGCAGTGCTGTTGTCCTGCGTAGTTTGCTCCCTTAGTCGTCTCTAACGACACACACGGGATGAACAGAGGTGGTGACACTCTGTGTGTGTGTGTTTAACGTTTGCTATTACACAACACTTATTTTTAACACCCACAACAGGGGTTATACTGCACTTTTACTACCAGGTAGACTATTTTTTCTCACAGAAAACCCCTATCAAGGCTCAAGAATCGAACCCACTAAGGCCGCGCTTTTCAATTTCCAAGCGAACGAAGTCCCGGCACCCGCTGGTAAGGTATAAAGTTCACTATAGAGTTGTATTGTCTTGTAATGGCTGAGCACTGTCTCCCAAAACACTAGCTTTGGCCAAGTTTGGCAATCAGTACTACTAAGTATTGCGCTAATAAGAATTAAACTTAATTCTGTAAATAAGAAGTCATCGAATTAAGTTTTCACACATTGTACGCAGTTTTTGTGACAATAAAAACATTATTTATTTATCTATATAATATTAAATAAATAAAATTGATGTGTCTGTTTGTAATGTCAAAATAATAGGTTTTTTTATACTTACACGGTTATTTGCACGATACCTACTCGTATATCTAAAAACCAGTTTAAAGATTATTATTTTTTCTGTCTGTCTGTTTGTTCCTGGTAATCTACAAAACGGCTGGACCGATTTTGATATTATTTTACTACCAACTAGCTCTCTATAAAAGGAGTAACTTAGGCTATTTTTTTCAGAAAAACCCTATAAAATTTTGCCTGGTCCGGGAATCGAACTTACTAAGGCAGCGCTTTTCAAATTCCACGCGAACGAAGTCGTCGGCACCAGCTAGTTGATATATAAAGATTAAGTGGTAAGGTATATTTGTAAAATGAAATAAATAACAAGATAACAATCAATACAATTATATAGATAATGACCTTTGTGTGTATATATTTATATTATTTATTTAAATGTATTGCTTGTATGTGTTCTGTAAACGTAGTAACTTTATATTTATTTAACTATTCATTATTGTGTGTTAATTGTAATATAGTACATTGCAGGCTACCCTAATTTAAATTTGACAGTATCCCTATAAAGGCTGTCTGTAGGAGATCGCCGTAAGCCATAAAACCACCTATTTTTTACAATGAAATGTTCAATATAATATGTGTAAAAATTATACTACAGCAATGTGTTATACAAATTATCACATTCCGGCCCCTTAACTCTATGAAACGGCTCAAAAATATATTTACTTATTAAATTTATTTCTATTAATTTCTTACAAACTTACAAAAAAGTTATGATTCCGGCCAGGATCGAACTGGCGGCCTTCTGCGTGTAAAGCAGATGTGATAACCACTACACCACGGAACCCGTTGCTACCTTTAACGAAATTAATGTTCTAATTGTTTGTATGTTGTATTGTGCTTACTGAATTATGAATTTTGACATTATAATTAAAACAATTCATAATTATATCTAATTTGATGTAAAAACAACATAATTCTGTAGATAATAATCTGATATTTAGAATATATTAAAAAATATATTATAATACATTTATATATTTATATACTCACACCATTCATATATTATCTAACTTTATTAATTTGGAAATTATGGAGACCTAGATATCCTTTTTCCCGTGGATTACGGGACGGGGCACTTATAAAATCGACAAAAGTCAAGATGTTGAAACAACACACATACATCTATACCTACAAATTAATAAAATTGGAGTGTCTGTTTGTAAAATTAAAATAGCTTGTTACTAAATGCATATGTATGTTTACACGGTACATATGCCAAAATAACATTTTTTACAATTTTTGGCTGTCTGTCTGTCTATCTGTCTGTTTGTTGTGGGTAATCTCTTTAACGGCTGGACCGATTTCGACGGGACTTTCACTGGCAGATAGCTGATGACATAAGGAGTAACTTAGGCTACTTTTTTTAGACTAGCTTCGCCCCGCGGCGTTGCCCATGGTTATAACAACAAACGCGGGTAACACTGCGGGTCTCAGCTAGTTGGTTTGTGTACGCTTCAAAAACTCAAAAAGCTCTACACCGATTGAGCTTAAATTTTGACAATAGATACACCACGCTTAAGCGATGGTTTTTATGTACTTTTTGTAACCACGATGTACACAGCAAGGCGTGGCATTGTATAGCTAATGTATTATAATACCGTTTAAATTATTTTCGGTGTGTGGAGTAAAGTAAGTTTAGTAACATGTTTGATATTAAATAACCAAAATGCGTACCCAAATATATTCTAAAGCGTAACCTAATCCAATATCGTTATTATTATCTGAATTGTATCAACTACCAAGTATTTTCTATAGCTTGTTCTGACTGAATTTGTAGTATTGTACAAGGCTTTGTGGTTTATCTTTGTTGTTTTATGTTAGAACTGTGAATTACTTGTAGGTATGTTAATATATGAAAATAAAGAAAATAAAAATAAGGTATTATTACAAGTTTTTATTCTATTCGGCTGTAATTCTTATATAATATTGTTTTTGCTTATCATAATTTCATTTTAAATAGATACCGCAGTCCGTGTGGTGACGGATTAAGAATACGGAGAGTTACCATCCCTATTCATCTTGTGGGTGTCGCAAGAGCCGAGTAAGGAAGCAAACTCTGCAAGGATAACATCACTGCAAAGAGAAGAAAAACTTGAAACAAACCCTATACTAACCCGCCAGGCCAGCGTGGTATACTGGGAAAAAACTTCTTTTCTAAAGAGCAATAGACTATTATGTCTGATCTGAAGTGCCAATCCAAAAGACTGTAACTCGACTTACAGACTTACGTCAATCAGTTTATTTACGTCGGTTTAGTACCCTTGATCAACACTTGTTATTGTAAAGTGTATTTTAGAAGAGACATTACTCTAAAAAATTCTGTTGTTTATTGAAATTAGGGTTTTAACGTGGTTAAAAACTGTAACAAAGCTTACAAGTCGTTTATAAAAGTTATACTAAAAGTTACAGTTACGTCTAAAAGTTTTGTAAAATATCATAGTAGATCATTTCGAGTATGTTATTCTGTTTGTGAGGGTAATACCTGTTTCTATTTCAGGTAAGCTCCTCGAAATAAGAATGTGTGCTACCTGCTAAGAGCGTGACCTTCCGTGGAACGTATCTTGAATATTCAATAAAATTTTAATTATTACTTTTTATACTTTTTGCAACATGTTTCATTGGTATTTCTATTGGTCGTAGCCTGGTATATTGTATAGCCGATAAATGATATATCTACTAAAATATTTTTTCGATTCGACCAAATACCTACCTAATTCCTGAGATTAGCGTGTTCAACCAAACAAACTCTACAGCTTTATAATATTTAATTCTTCTGCACGTGTGTTTGTAATCTAACTCCTCCTAAACGGCTTGACCGATTTGGATGAAAATAAGTGTGTATCCAGGATGGTTTGAAAACACTATTAGACCTGGTAAGTGGCGCTGCTGTCGGTATGTCACCAAATTTGTCACCTAATTTATTAATTCTAACCCGGTACGAAGTTTACCGGGTCAGCTAGTATTAGTATAGATCATTACTTTAATATTTAAGTTAATTCTTAAAAATACAATTGTTTTATAAATATTATGATCACTGCTTATAAGTATTTTTTTGCGATTTTATTACTCAATGAGTTAGAATTAAAGCTATAACTATAATTATGTTCTCGTATGGGGATTAACGAGATCATGTAATAGGTATTTCATAGATATCTTTAAATTATCTGACGTTTACTTACACCAGAATGTAAATTCTCGAAATAAGTACAAGTTCGATCACAACTCACTTCCGATCAACTTTCGATCTCCGAACTGACAACTGTCATAAATGGTATTTTCGTAGTAAAATATTAAACAATCAACGTTGACTGTAATGTGATTATATCGTATTATAACCGAAAATTGAATCTCTAATCTGCTAGTCTTAGTAATACTTTACTATTTTACTACGAAAATATCTTTTATGACAGTTTCGAGATCGAAACTTAGTTATTACCGGACGTTATTGCACTGGCTGTCGTCACAGGCAGTGCAATCGGAAGATACTGAGACCCAATAATACCCATTAAGTGATCGAGTGAATACCGTATAGTTACCGGTACGAATCTTGAGCGCTCGGCGGCAAGGTGGGGATCGCTTTGCACTATTTGCACTTGTGGCAAAATAAAATGCACACCCATTTATTGTCATTTATTGTTTCGCATAATTTATATCCGAAGATCTATACAAAATCGCTCCTAGAAGCCTGTGAACGCCCCAGTTCTGCGCTTCTGGAAGGAGCTTGGTTGGCTCACCTAGCTAACCAATCCTCGACGCATTAAGGACCACTCTTGAGTCTAAATGCGGAAACCGAAGCCCACAACCAATACCAATATATCCGAAGATATACGAAACCGGTATACTTATATGTTACGTAGTTTAGGTATGGCAATTAACCCAATCACGTAATGAACAACTAAATAAAAATACAATGACAAGATTTATTTTAATTTTTAATTTAAACAAACACCAATAAATACAACATAAGTATGATTTTAACTAAATTTTAACAATTGTTATTAATTAAATAAAAATCAAAGCACAACTTTTTCTATAACACGACTCGCCTTCAAGCTTATTCTGCCATCTGTGAACGTAAAATAGAGATTGAAATATTAATATTACTATCGGCACCATCAGGAATATCACTGCCCTCACTATCGTGACTATCAAAGTGGTTAAACTATTGACACGGGCTGGACTTGGGACAAGAATAAGGTGCTCTTAACATCTACCGCGAAAGGAGACATTTAGAATTTAAGTCAACCAAAAAAAGGCAGTGAATCCAAAATACATCATACTTTTCTATTTATTTTAAAGAATAGAAAAGAGTGCTTGCTTCTAGTATGAACATACATTTATTACGCATAGAAGTCATCTATGAATTATGTAAAATCTCATGAAATAATTGAGAATTTTGAGTATTTTTTTCGCAATTTGTTTCAGCTTTTGGCATTGCATTGACTTTCCATGGACTTCACGAGCCGGCGGTCATAAAAGAAAAAAGCCAAAACTATTCTGCACTGAAATGAAGTAGTGCGTAAAAGAGGGTGTTCAATGATAACGGAATATGGAAGAAGAAAACACATTGCGGCCTTCCCCCCTCCCCCCCAAATAAATTTGGGTGAAGATGATTTAATGATAGATGTTTATATAAATAACTAAGTATTTTATCCCTTAAAACCTATGATATATCTCTTATGGGAGGGGAAATAAGGCTCCCATCAAGTTGATACAAATTTCCGTTGATTTAAAGAAAAAGTGTTCTTACCTTTTTGTTGATCCGCCATAAACATGCATATACATACATATACACTAACAACGCACACATAAACACACTCAAACGAAAAGCACAAAAGAAAACAAAAACAGAACACATCAATATTGCTGCCTCACTCTTAAAAAAACATGCAAGGATTAAAAATGGCGGCTTGTATATGACACTGTTTCATGCATTTGAAATGTAAAATGATTTGTTTTAAATTTTGAATTTCGATTCGATGTTTAACCATCGCGAACGACTTTTCGACAATTCGAACTTTAGCGATCACAATTGCGCAGATTGACATACGAGCATGCAAACTCAGTCTCTTCCAGTTACTGCAGTCGCATAACGCAACGCAAGTCTCTTCACAGTCCTGGTTCCCAATCGAGACTTACGGAACCGCTTGCCCTACCTTCCTCGACCTATCCGTTTTTCTTATACCCATTCATTTTCTACCTTTTGGTTTCTCTTCTTACCTTTGGTCTAAGAATCTTTTTTTGTACATGTGGAAACCCCCTCGAGTAGTCACCCCACTACGTTTTTCGATGGGCCGGTGTGTCGGCATCAAACGAACTAAAACCACTCGGAATAGCTTTCTGGCATAAAAGAAACCTGCCAAAGCCCTTTGCAATGTTTCACGTTGCGCCGGCCCCAAATAAAATTAGAAATAACGCATTTTGAAGACAACCATGTATCGTTTGGATGGATGACCTTTTTTATGTGTAGTTAATATGTAGGTAATTATTTGTTACAATATGAACATGTAATACGACGGGCCCGTCGGTCATTTAGTCTATGGTGTGTGTGTGTTTGGAAGTAAATGGGTGTGTTTGTCAACGGTCTGGCTGCCGTGGTGCGGGCTGTGCCTGGTTTGGGATCGGACGGTCGTGTGTGGGATGTGTAAGGTTGTTCTTATTGTTAATGTAATAGGTAATATACATATTTTTAACAACGAATGCCTTCACTGTTGTATTAGGTACATAATCTGTAAAAATAGTTGTATTGTGTGCCATGAATAAATAAATAAGTATACCTAAGTATGACCGTAGGAGAGCCATCCTTAGGCATATATGGCCAAGCTCTGTTACGTTCATATATTAGGTGGTATTATGTCCTAAAACATATTACTATTAAGCCGCGACCAGACATGCGAGACTCGAAGCTGAGCCGATTATTCGCGGAATAGCAAATAGTGCTAGTTGTTTGTACTCGCATCGCTCGGTTTATTGTCGCTAAATTTATCCTTTTCTAAGGAAAAGAACAAGAATGATCCCGAAAACAGCTATGTAATTAGACAGGAACAACAAATGTGTATATACATGGCTGACTACTTGACGAATACGACTCCGAGTTCTCGTCACTCGGCGAAACATCGGCATTCAGAGATTCAGAGGCTTCATTATAACAGCTTGGCCTCATTATTTTGACTATAATATCTTACTGTTGCACAAATAAGAGAAACATGTGGTATCACCACATAAATGCTTCGTCAAAACCAGTAATATTTTTATTATTACGATTATACAACAACTGTTTTAATGTCAATGCTACATTTGTTTATTGGTGAAGCCGGTTTTTATTATGTCATATTTTTTATTTAACGGTTCTTCTACAATGTTTATAAACACTTTAAACGCTTTTAAAGTATAGATTGTATAAAAAATAGGAATTTATGTGATTTATTTAAATTTATAATCACAAAACTTAACTTTTTTTAAAGTATCACTGACTTCAACGCTACTACATCATGTTGAATCATCATCATCATGTTGTAGTGACGTCAATTAACTAGAAAAATAATGGTGTACACACTCTCAGACGCTGCAACCTCCTAGTAAATTAAAAATGATACAAAAAAATAAAGAAAGAATGAAACACCTATTTACAACTTTAGTGATTAAGCTTAGATGTAAGGCTATATGCACTTAATATTTTGTGACATCAGTGATTGGAAATGTTGTTTTCTTTTCTATATCAAAAAAACTCCCTCTCGAGGCAGTTTTACCGTCGAGTTGATATGGAAAAAGACCGCAAAAAATGTAGTAAAATACCTATTGACGTTGCGGAATTACAATCGACTGCTACGATAGAGGTCTTGGGTTCATATTTGTATGCATGTGTACGTCTTTATGAATAGGTGTAAGTGTTTTTATGTATAATATTGATGTATCCACTAAAAGAAATGTATTTAAAAATCTATCCATCTTTTTATAAGCCATAATAATTTGAAGCGAGATTCATGTTTGTAATGTTTCTTATATTATTTTGTGGTACACCAAAAAATAAGGACCCATCTACTTATTTAGTAGACGGGTCACTTAATGGTAAGTGATCTTAAGAGTCACAAACTCGAGTCGAGTCGGCCTTTAAATTAAGGTGCGGAGGGGATGTTGTGTCTTTGATAAAATCGCTGTACTTTCTAAGACCCTCCTCCATTTTTTATCGTGTAGAACTCCCACAGTCCATCAGGCCCCACAATATGGTTTTAGGCAATGTCTCACATGATCGTGTGGGGCTGCCACACGATCATGTATGAAATTGCCTAAAACAGCACGATATATCACACCAGTAAATATATGACAAAACAGATTGTTACTATATTGTGTGTGTTGATCTATGACTGAATCTAAGATGATTTCAATTTTTTTTTATGAAATTAAGATGTTTTGAGTTGGAGTCGAGTTGAATTAAACGAGAGATTTATACGAGTAATATCCCTGTCTTCGACGTCGACAATAGTAATTAACAATACACATTATATCATCAAACTTTTACAAAGCAATCGCAAGCTTAAAAACAATTACAGGTTCAAAACTTAAACATAACATAGCGCCCGAAGGCTGATTCATTTTTAACACACCTTTACCGAAATGGATCTTAACAAAAAACGTAAAGTTTTGAACCTGTAGTAAGCGAAAACACATGCAACTTACCCTTCCCGAGAAACCCTGTACCACCAGTCAAAAACACACACTGATCCTTATAAAACCGTTGAATTTCAGTCCTGGGGCCTTTACCCTTTGTTAGTTTCTGCTTTTCTTCTTCTTTGGCATCCACTTTGTCTTCTCCCGCGTAATACGAGTTGTTCTGACTGTCAGGCACAAATTCGTGGTCTTCTGAAAAATCTAAGATCTGGGCCGTGGGGTTCATGGCTTCATTTTCTACATCATCAATGCGCACATAGTTTTCTAACTCCTATGGAAAGGTAAAAATAATGTATTTTTATAAAAGTACTAAATTAATCATTTTATTAAATTAAATGGTATGTGGACACGGTTTAAGAATACGGAGTGTCATCTCACCTATTCATCCCGTAAGTGTCGTGAGAACCAACTAAGGGAGCAAACTACTCAGGAGAACAGCACTACAAAGAGACGGAAAACTTAAAACAAACCCTATACCAACAAAACCTCCGTTCTAAAGAGATGCCTATGTCCAGCCGTGGACAAACGCAAAGATTCGATTCTTATGGACACCCATAGACGAATAGGGGTATTCGTCCAATGGGTATCGTAAGAACCGATTATGGGGGCAAAATATGCAAGACAACAGCACTGCAAAGAGAAGGACAACTTGAAACAAGCCCCATACTAACCCGTCTAGTCAGAGTGGTATAGCGGGCCAAAACCTCCTCTCTTAGGAGAAGCCTATGTCCAGCAGTGGACTATTAAAGGCTGTCGGTGATGAAAGTTCTCAGAACCAATGCTTTAGCTTTGAAGAAATCATTGTTACGGGCATCCGTATTAAGATGCAACTGCACAAAAGTGACTTAAAATTGAGCCTTTTATTTTTCCGCGAGAGTTGATTCTTTAAATAAATGATTAATAAACCAACTGTTTCATATTAATTGATCTTTACAATCACCCTGACTTTTTGACGAGTGCCTGGTTTATCTTGTTTTAATGCCAAATAATTAGCTTAAAAATAGTATAATCAACTTTAATGCCCCCTGATTGTGAAACAGAATGCTTTATCTGTAAACATAAATCAAATTATAGCAGAATATGAGATGTTACAGATAGGTAAATCCTCTATGTGTGTGTGTGCATGAACAATTCTAATTAGCTGTAGTCTAAATTCCGTAATTTTCACTCTAAAGCATGTTTTTTTTTTTTTCAGAATTGAATTAGACCAAACAGTCAAAAAAATTAAATATTCCAAATCAGCTCATACATTTTTGAGTTCTGAGATAACCAACATACATCCTTATTGAGAACCTTTTCTCCATTTATTAGGACAGTTAAAAAGGACTTGCATAAGACTATTTCTTGCTAAATCACTCAAAATCCGACTTACATGTAAGTTATCCTGCAACTCTTTGCTCAAGTTCCTGACATTCTCCAACTCTTTTAGCTGCTGCTCTGTCGGCTTCCCATACACATCAATATCTATCTTCTCTCCACGTGCTTGAGCTTCTATCCACCTCTTCATCTTCTCTCCTGTCAACGTGGTCTGCAAAAGAGGACATTCTTCCAGAGTGTGGTTCATCCTGAGGACAAAATATGACTTTTAGGAAAGAACTGCTTTAATTTAAACTGATAGAGGCCGGCTCTACCGGAGTCATAGACACGGCCTCACAGAAAATCGGTGGTAAGCTTTACTTTTGTTGCTTTTAAGGGATCTAACATCCCCTTCTGCCTAACTCTGGGGGAGGGGGAACGGGAGCATTCGAAGGGAGTCAACGCACTTGTGTTTCTAAAACTATTTTCGTCAATCTATTTTTTGATCTTAGACATTTATTCATAAAACTCGTTGTTCCGTACCACCCTGCAATATTATTAGAACTATTTCTGGAATTGTGCGCTTAATTGAATTTCCTCTTTGATGAATGTATTTTCGTGATATTTCGTGACAGTAATCGATATACATTCAACATACCACCTGACGCCCCGCCACACAAAACAAATTAATAAACGGTAAGTTGGACAAGTTAAAACTTAAACGAAATTTTGATGTGATTTACTCGTCAGAATCAGAATTTATAACTCGTCGTTCGGACACATAAATGAAGGAAGTATAATTACACCGAAACCGGTCTAGTCAATTCATATCTTAACATGGAAATGTCAAGTCATTTAATGTTTCATTTACATACTGTGAAAAGATATTCATCAAACTATACTTAGTTATGCCATTTAAGATAGGTATCTGTATTATATTAATTTGAAATGTTGTATTGCAATGTGCAGCGTTATGCAGTCTGTGCTGGCCTTTATGTGGGAATTCAGTATTTCCTTGCTTACTTGATTACTGCTATTACATGTTACAAGAAACATTAGAAGATATGTACATATTAAGTCTAGACAGTGATCCAAATTTAGCATGCACAACATGAAAAGGTAAAATACAAAGCATGTGGCAAATACTAACACTTGCCACGCTTAAGAAAGAAAGAAAGATAGCTTGAACATTATACACCTTTATAAAATCTGGTACCACCTGTATTCTCTGCAAATAAATGTTTCTTTCTTTCTTTCTTTCTTTAATTTACAATAACGCCACTCAAGTTCATGCATCGTCATGCAGCATACGTATAATTAAATCTATATTATTGTTACGAGCGGGGTATAAAATTAATAAAAGTTGTCGGTTAATTACTTTATTACACTGTATTTACAAACACTCACTACTAGGATTACGTTATCTCTATATATATATATATAAAATTATTTGCTCTGCCTTGCCATGAACGACTGACTGATTCCTCAACGCAGAGCCTAAACCGGGGGCACGGTACAATTATAATACAGTAGTGTAACTCGGCCGCATGATAGAAATAAATGCCTACAGCCGCGCGGTACGTAAACATGCGTTAGGGCTGCCCGTCTTCAGCATTTTAATTATATTTGCCTACTTTATGTTTCTATTTAGATTTGTGATTGTAAATATTTTATATAAATAAATGAAATACTTTGTATATTGGATAGGAAGTGTTCAATAAAAATGCTTGTTGTTTTTTGATTGGTAGATTTAATTAAAAAAACATGTTTTTGTCTAAAAAACAAATCGGGCTTATAAATTTGCGACCGAAAAATTTTTGCGCCTCAATATTTCCTCCATTTTTTCTATATATTCCACAAAATCATCGTTGGGTACAATCAAAAAAGTTCGCGAATTAATCTTACTGTAGTCCCGGTACCGTACCATGATTCATTCAGAACCGCATAGAACTACCTTTTTCACTCGTCTCAATAACTTTCCGTTACTCTATTCGCTTTATTTATTATTCCAAACACCTTTTTTTCGTGAGATAAAAGGAAATACTTATCCATTAAAAAGACACACATTATGTACCTACCTACTAGTAAGTAAAATTATTTTATAGTCTTACCTTTCAGAGTTTCCAGGTAATTTAAAAAAACTTATGTCTGGATGCGTTATTGACGAATTCATACAACCAAAAACAGCACAATATTTCCTACTCGTCATATTAACTGTTTTTTAGAGAAAAAATCGCGCGGTTATTGTTAAAAAAACAACACACAGTCCGTTCGACACTGCGGTACAGCCGTGACTGTCTGCGCCCCGAGCGCACCCCGAGATCGAGGCGCGTAGGTATAGCTCGCGTTTCGTCCGTTTGTATGAAGTTGGAGTACTGTATTATAATAGTACCGTGCCGGGGGGCTACAAATTTGATACCCCCAGAAAAGCATTCTTGAAAGCATTTTTGAAATTTTCACCCCTAAGGGGGTCAAAAGGACAAAAAGTTTTGTGAACGAACGGATGTCATGTTCCTCCAACACTAAGGGATGATCCTCCGACCAGGCGAGATGATCATGCCTGGCGGGCCGCGGCCCAACGGTTGATGTTAAGAAGTTTTATATGTTATGTTAATCCGTGTGAGAATTCTTCATATCGCGATACAGGATTAGCAGTTAGTTCAGCGTGTCTTCGATAGATAGCGCTGCAGTATGTTTCTTTGTTTCATTCTATGTGGAAGTCGCCACAGGTTGATTGGAAGTTCGTCATTTTCAAAGTTAAAACACGAAATAAAAAATAATCACTGGAGCAAATCCGCAAGTCAATAAACTTAAAGATGCTATGTCAATAATGTTGTTGCCATGTGGTAAATAATTAGTTCTGTACATAATATTGATTCGTCATGAATTTATTTCGTTGGTTAGACGATTACATTAATAGGTTAATATTTTGCTGTATTACAAAGAGCAGATTTATTATTAGGTCTTTCTTGATATTACACTTGGTTATGTGTATTCGTTATTATGTTTAAACAATATTTGCTGAATACTTGACATTGGTACGCGTAATGAGATTTTTGCGAGATGGTGATAAAAACAATGTGATACTTTGTACTTTTGCGCAATTCCTTCATTTGCAGATACTCATATATACATGTATTTAATTAAAGATATTTAACTATCATGATTTTTATTATTTAGATTGACACTTAAAATACTATAAATTATAAATATTTATAGGGCCGTATTATATTTTAACTGCAAATCAAAAAATCTTCCTTTTTTATGTAAAAAAAATTAAAATCTTAATCAAACATACCGATTGCACAGCAAAATATAACTTTAGCAACAATTTAAGTTCGTGACGCATCCCTATTATTTGAAAAGCGGCACTTTTTATAACCTAACCTAGTATTCTGGATAAAGCTCAGGGTCGCAGTACTAATCTAAGCGACTTTTCTGGCAGCAGCTCGTTGTTACCGTAAGGATAGCCCTAAACCTTAAAAAGAGGTATTGGCTCACAATGCCACACTGGCCAGACGGGTTGCAATAAAAGTTATTTTTTATTATATTACCAGCTGAGACCCGCGGTGTTACCCGCGTTTGTTGTTATAACCGGGAGCAACGCCGCTGGGCGAAGCTAGTCTAAAAAAAGTAGCCTAAGTTACTCCTTATGTCATCAGCTATCTGCCAGTGAAAGTCCCGTCGAAGTCGGTCCAGCCGTTCCAGAGATTTCCCGGAACAAACAGACAGACAGACAAAAATTGTAAAAAATGTTATTTTGGCATATGTACCGTGTAAACATACATATGTATTAAGTAAAAAGCGGTTATTTTAATATTACAAACAGACACTTCAATTTTATTTATTTGTATAAAAGATATGTGAACACATCTATACTAATATTATAAAGCTGAAGAGTTTGTTTGTTTGTTTGTTTGTTTGAACGCGCTAATCTCAGGAACTACTGTTCCAATTTGAAAAATTCTTTCAGTGTTAAATAGCCCATTTATCGAGGAAGGCTATAGGCTATATATCATCACGCTAAGACCAATAGGAGCGGAGCACCAATGAAGAATGTTTCGAAAACGGAGAAAATTTATTACTATTGAGAGACGCAGACGAAGTTGCGCGGGTCAGCTAGTGTATTATATGTGAATATTACCTACGTTTGTAAGCTCTGGGTAATTAGATGTGTAATTAGTATGTACTCGTATATTTGATATACAAACAAATTGTTTTAGTACATTAGGCAACTTTTTTTGGGGCATTTGAGCAAAAAATATAATAGGTAATAATATATATATATATATATATATATATATGAACATCAACATCAACAGTGTATATGTGCATATTCGAGTTATTTCTAGTACTAGTTTTGTTAAACAATTGATTTATTTGCAGTGAAATAATTTATTTGACGTAAAAAAAAATGAATTGACCGGGGGAGATTAAAAATATCCAATATTTATATACCCTAAAATACGATATTTTACTAATCTTTTTAGCGTTTTAATAGAGTTTATACGTAAGGTACGCTTAAAAAGCAAAAAGTTTTCGAATTACAAAATATGATTCGAATCGTTAGAGCCTTTTAGATACACTCCCAATTTCTTTAAGCTCTTTTTTTTATATTGTACCAGCTATTAAATCTCCGTTGTCGCGGTAAAAGGAAGCCTCTGATCTCTAGAGCAAATTTCATGTAAAATGGTTCAGCGGTTATTAACTCCTCATTCAAACTTCCACTTCATTTTTCACAACCTTAAAGGATGATTTCTGGGATAAAAACTACCCTTTGTCCTTTCCCGGGACTCAGCGAGAATAGCAGACAAACAGACAGACAGACTTTCGCATCTCTCAAATAAATAAAAATGAAGTGTAATTGTTGTAAAATTGAAATTTTGCCCGGTCGGGAAATCGAACGCACTAAGTCAGCGCTTTTCAAATTCCACACGAACTAAGTCTCGAGTACCAGCTAGTTTATAATATTATTATGGACTAGTACGGATTGATTGAAGGGTCATCAGATGGCGTAACTGCCTGCAACTGCAAAATCGCAAGCATGTTGCCAGCCTTTAAAGTATGAGTTAGGAGTACCCTCTTTTCTTTTAACATTCATTCATTAGATAAATATGTCCAAAAATCTCTTTTAAAGGTTTGTCATAAATATATTTAAGTAACAAAACATTATAATAGACGTTACGTAACTGATGGTGACTTGACTTATTGGAGACAAAACATATAGGTATTTATTTAATGCTTAAATTGTTGTAATTATTGCTGAACT